GAAAACCTCACATTTGTATAAACACACGCACCTGCACAAATGAAAGTGTGTGTGTGTGTGTGTGTGTGTGTGTGTGTGTGTGTGTGTGTGTGTGTGTGTGTGTGTGTGTGTGTGTGTGTGTGTGTGTGTGTGTGTCTGGATATGCACCACATGCAATCTTCAGCAGACACAGTGGTGGAAACCACTCGCTTTAGAGCAGGATTTCAAACATTCACATTCAGAGGCTGGTGGAAGAGTCTGCACCAGATAAGACAAAATCCAGAGCACAGCAAAAATGAGAGGTGTAAGTCTTTGTTAAAAAACACAGAAGTTAAAAACCGTTAAATTTTTCACTTCAGCCCAATTTACAACCAAAACCACCCTGTGATCCTAAATCTCAAGTGTTTCTTTTGCAAATAGTGATACAAAAGACAGGAAACTTGTTTTATGTCAAACTCACCTAGAACTATTTGGCCTTAAATCACATTCATAGTATTGTTACAAAACATCGGCAACTTCTATTCTGTCCAGATGTGTCCATCTAGAAACATCTGTACACAGAGTACATACTCACAAGAAGCAACGTATTTGGGTTTGAAACTGCAGCTCATCAGTGCCAGTGGCATTAAAGAGCACTTTTTGTGACTGCGTTTTGTCAATAACAATAGTTACATTTAAAATGATTGTTACCTTGGTGGTGGCCCGGCGAGGAATGGACTGAGTTGGAGGGGGTCCCCGAGGGGGGTCGATCCGCGCCACCTCCGCCGTGAAGGACCCCGCCATACGGGTCGTAGCTCAGAGATGCCTGGTGGCTTTGGTCATAGTGTTTGTGGCCTGTGGTTTCAGGGACGGCAACAAAGAGCAGCAAAAAAACAAAGATGAAAAGGTTTCATTTCACAAACAGGAGCATGGCAGTCTCTCCCTCCTGAATAGAAGCTGACAGTCTGGAAATAAAAGGCCTAAGAAACAGCAGCTAAAGCCTAGTTTATGCTTCTGCGTTTTCAGAGCGACGCTTTCATAGAATGTTTACGAGAGAAAGGATCTATGGATTTAAGAACTTTTGTCGGAAGAAATGCGTAAATATGACCGCTTATACAAGCCGTCATTGGCGGGTTGTAGAAGCGGGTTGGATTCACGGAGGGAGATCGCCGCAAACGCCGGTTTGCCGGTTGAGAGGTGCACAAAGTTGTGGAGGAAAATACGGGACAAATGTGTCCGCGATGATGAAAAGCAGCAGTGGCGATGCACGGGACAAGAGTCTATGATAAATAAATACACAAATAAATTAATAGACGTGACTCTCTAGGTCGTCTTCAACAAAAACACGTTACTCCGCCTGTTGTTCTGGAGGTGAATTGCTCCGCAACACACGCAAGCTTTTTAGAACCATGAATTGAAACGAGTGCGTCGACGCAACGATGCAGACGCATGCGCCAGCCTTAAGTATTACCAGCCCACAACTAAGGATGCACCAGCTTGTTTAGATTGCTGAGTATCATCATGTAGCTTGTACACATTATTCTGCAACACTGAATGCACAAAGTTCTCTGGACTTTATTCTGTGTGTCTGTTCCAGGAACACAAACCTGTGCTTCCTTGACCATTGACTGTCGGCCCCGGCTGACCGACAGCGGCTGTGGAGGCCGGCCGGGGGTTGCTGTACTGATGTAGCGGTGCCCCCATCTGGGTGGGCATGACTCCGTGCGCGGCGGCGTTCTGGAAGGAACTCAGGGTGCCAAACTGGCTACTTCCTGGCGCAGACGGGTACGAAACAATCGGGTGGATGGGAGCACCAGGGCCGACAGCCGGGGCGGGGACCAAACTGGGCTGCTGCTGCTGCTGCTCTGGCGGTGGTGGTGCTGGGGGGGCGTGATATGCCTGCGGCCCATAGTAGCGGCCCGAAGGGGCATACGGTGGATGCTGCTGCAGTGGCTGTTGGTTGTAGTGGGCATTTGATGGAGGGGGTGCTGAAGAAGGGACGGTGGCATATGGCTGAGAAGGAGCATCAGAGCTTAGAGAAGCATTGTATGGGGAGGGTGCTACATGATGCTGAGAGAGGTGGTGCTGCTGCTGATGGTGGTGGTGGTGCTGCTGCTGGTTGCTCCAATAGTAGTTAGCACCATGTGCACTGTTCGTGGCGGGCGCTTTGTTGGGAACAGAAGTGGGGAGGGCAGGGATGGTGGGGTAGTTCTGTTGTTGAGGTGGGGCTCCATAGCAGCCTGCAGGTGGATGCATGGATTGGTACGTCTGTCCTGGACCTGAAGAGGGGGGGGGGGTCATGTATTAACATGTGTAATATACATACATACACATATACACGCACACACCTTCCAACAGAGCTCACCAATAAAAGCCCTGAACAGGGGTTGTCATTAGCTGCATACAACTAGCTTCGTTAGCAGCTGTGACTCCAGCAGAGGGTTAACACCCGGTTAGCTCTCGACTGAAGGAAGCATCCCTGACAAACCACTAATAACAACGATGTTATATCTATGTTATTTTATTAGACTTTAAAAAAAATCAGAACCACCATATACAGTTGAAATAGTCAAGTGATGGTGCACAATCTGTCACACTGCTGTTATCTTGCTAACACTTCTAATAGCTAGCGTTGTGGGTTAGCTCAAGTGCTAACGGCAGCCGTCCCTTTGGGAGCGTTCGGGTTAGCTGACGTTAGCAGCTCGTTAGCATTAGCCGAAAGCCTCAGTTTCTGCCGACTTCAGGCGTCATTCTAAATTATGGATTACGCCACTCATCCGCTTATTACCAGAAAACAGTTATACTAAAAAACTGGGCCGGACTAACTGTCCAACACGTGCCGGCGCGCTTAGCATGCTAACGCTAACGACCCGGCTATTCGGGTCAGAAACCACCGGCCTGCGTTACCGTTCTGGCAGCCGTTCGGCGTTGGGTTCTGGCCGTAGCTGACGGAGCTGTTCAGGTGGGTGAAACCCGGCGCAGACATCGCTCCGTCCTCCCCGTCCGTTATTCACGCCCACGGATACACGGCCGGGTAAATACTCATGGGTCGGCGCTGTCCCAGAGGCTGGCTCTTCTCACAAACACCCCCCGCCTCGTCCTCCTCCTCCAGCAGTAATGCGGCAGAGAGGTCGGCGGAGACCCGGGCAGACTGGACAGCTCCGCTCGGCAGGGAGCTGAAGCCTCCGGTCGGGGTGTTGGGGGAACTCGGCGGACCCTCTGGCCGCGGTCCCTTCACTCCCCCTTCCGGCGGCTCTGTGTAACTACTCTTCAACTGAGAAACCCATTCTTATTTTGTTTTTATTGATTCCTTTATTTAACCTTCCTCTTGTGTTAGCTTTCTGTTACCATCCCTTATGTTAACGTGTCGGTTTTGACCCGTGTCTTAAATCAGCTGTAAAATACACTAGAAACAATTATCTATCATCCAATTTGTGTCTCGTCTCTTGTTACCTTGTTAGGCTTCCTTATCCATGAAAATATTGGTTTTAATATTTTTGGTTTGGGCCTCTGGGCCTTTTCTTTGTCAGTAGACCCCTCGATTTCAATTTTAAAAAAATTGTAAAATTAACCTCAAGAGAATCATATACATAAATTAAAGGTTGTTGTGTTACCTGACTATTTCTGAGTGGTATTAGAACACATCTCTCAAATAAATTTGTTTTGTTTATTTTTTTATTTTAATATTATTAACTATTGTAACATCTATGGTGTTACGGCTCAATTTTGACCCACTCTTTTTTCCCACTCTTTCTTTTTGGTTGAGTGGGTCCACAACACAAATGCATTACATGCAGACACATCAAGGATATTGTTAATCTCATTTTATACGATTTGTAATTCCCGCGATCCACAGACTAAATATAGCAGTTTCATGTATTGTAAAATATACCTTGTACACTCACCTAAAGGATTATTAGGAACACCATACTAATACTGTTTGACCCCCTTTCGCCTTCAGAACTGCCTTAATTCTACGTGGCATTGATTCAACAAGGTGCTGAAAGCATTCTTTAGAAATGTTGGCCCATATGGATAGGATGGCATCTTGCAGTTGATGGAGATTTGTGGGATGCACATCCAGGGCACAAAGCTCCCAAATCCCAAAGATGTTCTATTGGGTTGAGATCTGGTGACTGTGGGGGCCATTTTCGTACAGTGAACTCATTGTCATGTTCAAGAAACCAATTCGAAATGATTCGAGCTTTGTGACACGGTGCATCATCCTGCTGGAAGTAGCCATCAGAGGATGGGTACATGGTGGCCATAAAGGGATGGACATGGTCAGAAACAATGCTCAGGTATGCCGTGGCATTTAAACGATGCCCAATTGGCATTAAGAGGCCTAAAGTGTTCCAAGAAAACATCCCCCACACCATTACACCACCACCACCAGCCTGCGCAGTGGTAACAAGGCATGATGGATCCATGTTCTCATTCTGTTTACGCCAAGTTCTAACTCAACCACCTGAATGTCTCAACAGAAATCGAGACTCATCAGACCAGGCAACATTTTTCCAGTCTTCAACTGTCCAACTTTGGTGAGCTCTTGCAAATTGTAGAGTCCTTTTTCCTATTTGTAGTGGAGATGAGTGGTACCCGGTGGGGTCTTCTGCTGTTGTAGCCCATCCGCCTCAAGGTTGTGCGTGTTGTGGCTTCACAAATGCTTTGCTGCATACGTCGGTTCTAACAAGTGTTTATTTCAGTCAAAGTTGCTCTTCTATCAGCTTGAATCACTCGACCCATTCTCCTCTGACCTCTAGCATCAACAAGGCATTTTCGCCCTCACAGGACTGCCGCATACTGGATGTTTTTGCCTTTTCACACCATTCTTTGTAAACCCTAGAAATGGTTGTGCGTGAAAATCCCAGTAAGTGAGCAGATTGTGAAATACTCAGACCGGCCCGCCTGGCACCAACAACCACGCCACGCTCAAAATTGCTTAAATCACCTTTCTTTCCCATTCTGACATTCAGTTTGGAGTTCAGGAGATTGTCGTGACCAGGACCACACCCCTAAATGCATTGAAGCAACTGCCATGTGATTGGTTGATTAGATTATATATATATATATACACACATATAATTAGAGGAGCGCTCAGTTTACAAAAATAGGGTCCGTCCACTCCCGCCTGTCTCAGAAAGGACATGTAGGAATTTTGAATCCCCCCGGATTTATCTCACAGGTTTATCTCACAAAGAACCCCACCAAAAACCTCCTTCCTCTTCCTCCTTCTTGGTGGAGAAGGAGGTCGGGGTCACTCCCCCCAAGACACCGCTACGAGTGGAAACAGATAAGAAACGACCTCCATCTTCAACCGAGAGACTCTTCTTGGTGGAGGAAGTCAAGGTCACTCGGCCCGAGTGGAGATTCTTAACATGTTCAAATAAGTAAGTACACATTTTTATTTTTTAGGACTATTTGTCTCAAATCAAAAGAACAAATACGTCCTCCTCCTCCCCTTCTTCCATATATATATATACACACACACACACACATACACACATATATATATATATATATATATATATATATATATATAACATATTCTAGTTATGAATTGGGATTATTAAGCAGCAATTCCATCTTGTTTTGTGTCTGCAAGCACTGATGTCCTCTCCGCCGCTACGCATCCTGAGGGATTCTGGGACGTCCGTCCGTGCACTCGCACTCCTCTCTGCGGTGTGAAGCCCCTCCTTTGGTTCGGCAGGTGGGGCAGCAGGCGGTGCGTCCGTCCCGTCTGCAGGCGGGACAGGACAGAACCAGCTGGCAGCAGAACTCGGTGGAGCAGAGTTGGTACCGGTCCCAGGGACATCCGCAGTACCTGCAGTCTGAACAGAGGCAGCAACGGAATATTAATCAGGTATTCAACCATGTCTTTATATTATTGAACTTGAAAAACTAACCCGAGATGACGTCATCGTTGGAGGAGATGGCGTAGCGTTCATCAAACACAAAAAGTTTCCCTCGATAGAAGCCCTCTGGGAATCGCTCCAGATACTTGTGGATTCCACCTTTCAGCTGGTAGACCTCTTTACAAACATCCTACGAGTACAAATAAAAATGTACATCCCATAATCTGCTTCACATTTAAAAACAACGGCCCCTTTAGCTCACGTCAACAGCCAGTCGTCTTACTTTGGAGCGGAGGTACGCGGAGCCGCGCTCACAGCGGATCCCTCCCGTGCAGTACATCAACACCTTCTTGTCCCGGAACAGATCCAGGTTCTGGTCGACGTAGTCCGGGAAGTAGCTGAACTTACGGATGCTGGGAGCCAAACACTGAGTAAACTGCCCCTGGGGGGGAGGGAGGGGTAATAATCAGGGTTCAGAATATGACGCTCATCACAATGGTCATGACACTGAAACTGATTTCTTACAATTCTACTCTCGTAAAAGTTGCGGCAATCCAGGAGGACGGTGTCATTGCCCACATCACCTTCAGCCAACAGAGCCTGCACCTCTTCATGAAACTCCTCCGGCTCCAAATGAACTCCTGAGGGGACAGAGCGATTCCTCACAGTTACACGATGACCACAAACACCTGTACAACTCTACCGGTGAGCATTTATTTAAAGATTCAAAGAAATAACTTGTTGAACTGGTAGCAGTGGTGGGATTATTTGTACTGCCACAATAGGAACTGTACCTGCCAGCTGGTAGGAAAGGACATCAGGGTCCATTCCCATTGGGACGATTTCTTTATAGACCCCAACCGTCATGTCTTTAAAACACTCGGCGCCGCCTTCACTTGTCTGAACACACACAGACACGCAGACAGACACTGTCATTTAAACATAATAAGATGATTCTATGTTGTCTCAGACAACACAGGGTTAAAACTCATCTGTGGACACTCAAACAAAATATCCTATTCATGCAAAAACATGGTTTATATATATATATATATATATATATATATATATATATATATGTATAAATAAATAAGAATCAAAAGGCATTTGGTATATTCACATGCTGACTTGTAATAAAAGGTCTATTTAAAATAACCACTTTAAAGCCTATTACTGAATAATCCTGGGTAGATACTTATAGGTATTTTCTCATTTAATTAACAAGTAAAATGAAAAGCTAACATAACAGTTTCAAGTGAAATCCTTTAAAAAAAAATACATACATAGTCCTCCAAGATGATTTTTCTTTTTGGCTTTATTCTGACCTTAAAATCCTCCTCCTCCATCTTGAAGAGCGGGTGCGCACGCATCGCGTCCATGTAAAGCCGGGTGGCCGTGTTGGTTCCACCAACTGTTCCATTGATGCCTTCAGTCGCCAGCCTCACCTGGAGGAGATGATCATTATATATTCTGAGTTCAATTTAGTTGCATTAAATTACATGTTTGCTCCTTTCTGGTCTGCAGTCTCCAAATTTGGATGCAGAAGCTCTTTCCCTCCACTCACCTTGCCAGTTAGGTGGAGCTTCTCGCACAAAGCTTTCTGCCAGGCACAGATGACGTGTGTGTCCTCCACTTGGCAGTAGCGATAATAGAGGAGAACCTTGCCTGGACCCCTGACAAGAAGAATTACATTGGTATATATTTAGAAACAACAATCAATGGTTTATAAATGATGCATGTTTATACAACTTCAAGATGGATTTTCCCTTCAAAACAATACAAGGACATGATCATCTAAATTTGAGCAGTACTTCCGAAGCTGCTCCTCGGAGATGTGAGCAGTTTCAGGAATCCAGGTCGAAACGTCCGCCGGCTCGGCCTCACGCTCGTCCAGCTGCTGCGCTTCAGCTTCTTCCTGTAGACAGCTTAACAAACGCTCGTATGTGGTCTGCGTGAGCCGCCCTATTTCAGCCTTGTGAGTCCTGGCAGCGTGTTTGTGGAAGGCAGAGTGATGCCTGAAGGTCTCGCCGCAGCAGCGCCAGGACGGACTTCCTTGATCCTGACACTCGTCCCTCTTGGACGCCACGAAGGCAGAAAATGACTGCGAAGAAAAAGAAGTGGGATTCAAGGATGCGGGATGTTTACTAAAAAGAACTGTAGTAGGATTAAGGAGGTAAAGTTATATAAAGAAATTAACAATTTTCGAGGTCAGAAGTATATTTTATAGTGTTGTATAATCCTGTTATCACGTTACAATCACTTACATTCCTGACTCCAAAAAATGGGGAAATTGAGGTTAATTAGTCATAATAGTTAAACAATTAAAAAAAAGTCACTTAAAAAATTAAGTGACTTTTTCTAAATGACTTCATTTTACTTTAGATGACTTTTTATTGACTTTGTACATCAAAAATATTGAATTGTAATATTATTATGATCAATGTACTTAAAGTGGAGCATAATTCAGAAACTAAACGGTATGATCCATTCCTTAAATCCGCGTTGTGTTACTGTACCTGAACACAACGAAACGCAGCTGTGTGTCGTTATGTTTCAATGTAGTAACGTTACGTGCTGTACAGAAAGCCAAAGTAAAACCATTAAACATGCGTGAGATCTTCATCGTTTCTGTCGTCAGTCACCTTCCTCCTGCACAAGTTGAAGCGCCTTCTCTGCGGGGCAGACAGTTGTTTCTCCTGTTTGAGTCCAATAACGTCACGGGTCCAAGTGTCAAGATCCCAGTCCACGAACTCTGCGCAAAGTGTATCATCCGCTGCCATGTTTAAAAAAAAACTATTTTAAAACGACTATAAACTTAGTTAGCTAGCAAATAGTATTTAGCTAAATAGTGAGGCGCTGACTCCGCAGTCTAAACACGTAGAGGTAATGCGTCACCAAAGCACTTCGTCTTGACCTAATCTGGATCAATATTACATATTAGTTCTTAAACCCAACAATATGTGCATTAAACACGTATTTATACGTAACGTTATAGATCAACAAACGTGGAGCAGAATAACCGGGCGGTAAACATCGGACGTAAAACAGCGGTGCACCTTCCGGTTGAGCCGGATGTGCTTCTCTTGAACGCAACCGTTATTATTCTTCGCCTCTACCAGCAGCGGCCAGGCTGAATGGTATAGAAGCTTGTTCGGCCGATTTATTCTTCATTTCATATCAATTACCTCGTCGAATTATCTCAAGTTCATACCGAAGTGGAGTTTGGAAAAAAATGTCCCGAAGACGTCACAGCGACAGCGAGAATGAGGGTTAGTGGACGTTACATGCGTTACTAGCTAACTTATTGCAGACGTTAGGCTACCAAGTGGTGGCTAGCTAACGTTAGCCTATTTTAATCTCACGCTTGGGGGACTCACGCCAATGATGATCGACGCAATAATTGACCGGACTACAGAGTTGTATTCTTGTGATACGCGGTTAATATCCGTTAGTATTTGTTTCGCAATCGTGAAATTGTGCCAAAACTGACGTTACCCGGTAAGGCTGCGAGTTTACCGCTAGCTGCTGTTAAACCGTGTGGATACAGTGGGGGCGGCAACCAATCGTTTTGAATCATATGAATGCACCAGAGCAGGTTTTAATTTAACCTTGAGAGGCTTCACACGTTCCCTCTGATCCACAGATAAATGGTTGATTAACAGCGTGCCGATCGATTAACTTTTAAAATCCCTCTAAAACCGAACCTACATTTTGTCAGTCATCAGCGAGTAGTTAGTGGCTCTGAAATGATCGGATACATGATATGTAATCTATGTATAACAAAACATGAATCCCAGTTAAATCAATTTGCAATGCGTAACAGCTAAAATATTCAAATGAATGCTCCAGAAATTGAGTGTTGCATTTCAAAAAAATCACTGGGACTCATAACGGACTAAATCAATGCAATAGAGACCTAGATTTGATGGCATTTGGTCTTTAGTATGGGTGAAGATTTAACATAGTAATAATACAGGGTCGATTGATAACCCTGATAGTGACCTACTGTCTCAGCCTTTGTTTGTTAATTTGGTGGAGAGCCCATTTAAAAACACACAATTTTAAACTGCACCATGTATCATAAAACACATCCCATTTGTTTGTTGCAGTTCTAGGGTGTTCTTGAGTCCCCCTATGTGATGTTTCTCATTCCTGTCTGTGATTATTTCATTGTTTAATTTACCCGTATAGGAAGTCAGCCGCATAAAAGGAGGAGAACATCCGAGCCTATTGAAATTGAGGACCGCCTGGAGTCACTAATATGTCGAGTGGGGGAGAAGGTAAAGATCTCTGGCATGTCAGATGTTTGATGAAATTTCACTTTCTCGTTTCTTGCTCTTCTGAGTTTGTATCCCTATGGTTGAATGCACTTATCGTAAGTCGCTTTGGATAAAAGCGTCAGCTAAATGACATGTAATGTCATACTATTTCCAAGCTATTGAGCCCTACATCAACTGTCGTACTCCGGTTCACACTTAATCTCCAAAGGCAATCGCCAGACCGCCGTGATGTGTTGTGTGTTTTCTGCTTTTTGATGAACTGTAAACCCTTTAATTTCTCTTCACAGAGTACGTCGTCCCTGGAGAGCAACTTGGAAGGTCTGGCGGGCGTGTTGGAGGCCGATCTTCCAAACTACAAAAACAAAATCCTGCGGATTTTATGCAGTGTGTAAGTTCACAGCACTTCTCACTTTTGAAATAATCCGTGTTGTCACATTCTTTTAAAAACTGCGTTGTGTTTTCTCGACAGCGCCCGCCTCCTGCCCGAGAAGCTGACCGTGTATACAACTCTAGTTGGCCTCTTGAACGCCCGCAACTACAACTTCGGAGGCGAGTTTGTGGAGGCGATGATCAGGCAGCTCAAGGAGACGCTGAAAAACAACTTGTATAATGAAGCTGTTTACTTGGTAAGAATTACTTTTTAAATATACATTTCAACTTATTTTCTTTAAAAACTTTTTATACTCTTTTTCTATTTTTTCTAGGTACGTTTCCTGTCAGACTTGGTCAACTGCCATGTGATCGCTGCACCGTCAATGGTGGCCATGTTCGAAAACTTTATCAGTGTTACTCAAGAGGAAGATGTACCTCAGGTACGTGGGGGGGGGGGTGATTGCGCTATTCAGTTTAATACACCTCAGCTATAAAAGAGACTATTTATCAATTGAAAACCCAGTCGTGGCAGTGAAGGAGTGGAATTCTAAATTAAATTTAGAGTTTGGGCACAAGGTATTCCAGATAACATTCTCAACCCATATGTATTATTCTGGGAAGCACTCAGAGAGGCGCGTGTGTGATCTTGCGAGCGGCCATGTTTCTGCCTCCTCAGGTCCGGTCCGACTGGTTCGTGTACATGGTGCTGTCCTGTCTGCCTTGGGTCGGCAAGGAGCTCTACGAGAAGAAGGACGCTGAGATGGACCGACTCTTCAGCCAGATCGAAGGCTACCTCAAGTGAGACGGCCGCCTCGCCCTCTTGCTCATTTCTCATAGCTCTCGGTGTGTCTTTCTTAACGTCCCTCTGTGATTTCTAGAGGACGAGTGAAGGCGCACGCCCCCATGCTGCAGGTGTGGACCGCAGAAAAGCCCCACCCACAAGAGGAGGTGAGAGATTCTAACAATAAACATGGCCAGTCACTTTACACACAAACGGCTGATCAACCCACGGCGGTCATTGACGGCTGTTTTTTCTACTATTGCAATGACTTGAAGGAGCGTGCAATGTGCGTCCGTCGCTCTCACACGTTGTCTCTGTGTCCTTCGGCAGTACCTGGACTGCCTATGGGCCCAGATCCAGAAGCTGAAGAAAGACCGCTGGCAGGAGCGCCACATCCTTCGTCCGTACATCGCCTTCGACAGCGTGCTGTGCGAGGCCCTGCAGCACAACCTGCCGCCCTTCACCCCACCGGGCCACATGCCCGACGCCCAGTACCCGATGCCCCGGGTCGTCTTCCGCATGTTCGACTACACCGACGCCCCCGAGGTAGATCGCAGCGTCCTTTTTAAATATAGTAAACATGAACAGCTTTGGGTGGAATGATGCAGCCGCTGATGTACTACAAACGTTTGTGTGCTTTACGCTTAGGGTCCCGTTATGCCCGGCAGCCATTCTGTGGAGAGATTTGTCATCGAGGAGAACCTGCACTGTATCATCCAGACCCACTGGAAGGAGAGGAAAACATGGTGGGCAAGGAGCTTCCTCAGAAGTCTGTCAAATCAGAATGAAATGTTTTAACTCGTCTCCCTTTTTCTTTTTACTCTTTCAGTGCTGCCCAGTTACTCAGCTATCCGGGGAAAAATAAGATCCCACTTAACTATCACATCGTGGAGGTACGGCGATCTTCAAGCTTCATGATGAGACGTGAGGGGGAAAGGCAGATTTTAAATTATTACTCAATTTTCCTTTTCCCAGGTGATCTTTGGAGAACTTTTCCAGCTGCCAACTCCGCCCCACATCGACGTCATGTACACCACGCTGCTCATTGAGCTTTGCAAACTGCAGCCGGGCTCGTTGCCTCAAGTGGTATCCTTGATTCTATTTCTGCTGAAGCACCGATGGAGTGAATCAAACGTATATATATTGCTGCATTTATTTATTCATATATTGCACACGGTTATTTAAATTCATGTATTTTGTGAGAATACTCAGACACACGGTCTGAGGTTAAACGTGATATTATCTTTTAGCCGTGCGTTGTTCCGGCTTGTTTCTGTTTCCCTGTGATGATGTGCTTCAGTGAAGTTTTAAAGCCTTTTCTTTAACGCCCGCCTGCCAGCTGGCCCAAGCTACAGAGATGCTCTACATGAGACTGGACACCATGAACACCAGCTGCATAGACCGGTAAGCAGACGGTAGATGGAGAAACATCTCAACGGAGTAGAGCTTGATTGATCTCTTACAATTTCTCCTTTTGTTCATCTGCAGACTAATCAACTGGTTTTCTCATCATTTGAGCAACTTCCAGTTCCGATGGAGCTGGGATGACTGGTGAGTGATCCTGTGGTGGACGGAGAGGAGCTTTCATGGCAGCTGGTTATTGATATTAACGGACTGATCTTGTGTCCTCTGCAAAGGTCCGACTGCCTGACTGTGGATCCAGAGAAGCCCAAACCCAAGTTTGTCAAAGAGGTCCTGGAGAAGAGTATGAGGTATTCACTTGCTGTCTCCCCAAGAAGCAGCGTTTTCTTTAGTTAGTCCGAACTTTGATGCATTTCCCATAATTTATTTCTTTGATCTCTTTAATCCGGAAGCGTCTGGTTGAACTAAAGCGCTGCGTTTGCTCCGTGTTCCTGCAGGCTTTCATACCATCAGCGGATGGTGGACATCGTCCCTGCAACCTTCGCAGCACTCATCCCAGCTGAACCCAACTTTATTTACAAATACGAAGATGAGAGCGCTTGTAAGAACACTTGTGTACACACACACACACACACACACACACGTACGTGTGTGTACATTCTAATAGTTTTCATGCATTTAGGATATTTATTTATTTTCTGTTTAGGCCTTGAATCGATCAACCGCTTCCTCTGTAACAAGCAGATGGTATAAAATATAAGTGTAGATGTAAATACGTCTTTCCTGCCTCACAGCTTCGTTACCAGGTTACCCAGCATCCATCACTGTAGGAAACGCCATAAAGAACCGAGCGACCAACGAGGAGATCCTGGCCATCCTCAAAGAAGTGCCCAACCCCAACCAGGAGGATGACGACGGTCGGTTTCCTATTTCACTACTCTAGTTCATCACTCCAGGCCTGTTTTTTTTGTATGTTTTTGTAGAGAAATCCTCGTTTGTCTCCTCAGATGAGGGCGAGAGCTTCAACCCCCTGAAGATCGACGTGTTCCTGCAGACTCTCCTTCACCTGGCCGCCAAATCCTTCAGCCACTCCTTCAGCGCTCTCGGAAAGTACGTTTACAGAACGACCACTTTTACTTTGGCTTCATACCGTTTCTGTTTTATCGGTTGACTTCCTGTTTATCCCTTAAAATGTATTTGATAAAAAATGTTCATTTACCTCTATAAAAACGCGAGTAGGTCTGACGCACGTCTTCAGCAGCAAAGAAACAAGCTGCTCAAACCTTCCAAAGAAGCAGATGTGAAACTGTTTTAGGAGGCTTCAAAAGTCGCTTGTGTCATCCGGGCTTTGAAGGGAATGAGTCCCGCTCTCATCACCTGCCTCCGACTCCGCCAGGTTCCACGAGATCCTGAAGGCCCTGACGGAGCGGGACGAGGGGAAGCTGCACATCCTCAAGGTGGTGTACGAAGTGTGGAGGAATCACCCGCAGGTACGCCGTCACCGGTGCGGATGTGCAAACACATTAAAATGTGGACATTTGGGTTCAAACGTGGCGCGTCTCTCCGCTGCGTCGCAGATGATCGCGGTGCTCGTGGACAAAATGATCCGGACCCAGATCGTGGACTGTGCTGCGGTGGCCAACTGGCTCTTCTCTCAGGATATGGCTCACGAGTTCACCAGGTGAGACCTGAAACGGGCAGGGAGGGCGGAGGGGGGTGGTTCACTTAGACAGGTATGCTAAACATTGTCTTCCCCAATGTAGCTTATTCTAAACTTGATTTGAAAAAAAACCCTCCCAGACTCTTTGTGTGGGAGATTCTGCACTCAACCATCCGAAAGATGAACAAGCACGTCCAGAAGATCCAGCAGGAGTTGGAGGAGGCCAAGGACAAACTGGAGAAACAGCAGCACAAGAGGGTAACTTCACCCGCCACGGTGATTTTTAAGCTGATTCCAGGTCGGTGAGTGTGTGATGGGAGGGGCTCAATGTCTGTGTTTTGTTAAGCAGCAGAAGGACAGCGGAGACGAGGAGGACATGGACAAGAACAGCGAGGACGAGGAGGGTCAGCTGGAGGAGCAGATCGAGAGGCTGCAGGAAAAGGTGGAGTCGGCTCAGAGCGAACAGAAGAACCTCTTCCTCGTCATCTTCCAGGTAGCCGCTGTTCCCACGGTGACCGGGGAACAAGAGTTAATATACGTGGGGAGATATACGAGGAGCATGGAAGATAGCGTATAGAAGCATTAGCATTGTTCTTCTAGACATGTTTCTAGACAATCTTCACAAACTTTAAAGCTTTAGGTCCAAATATATATCAATAAAATAATGTATTTAATAGAAAGCCGTGAGAGGGCGGCAGTACTCTGAGTTAGAGAAAGAAACGTGGGTATTTTCTAAGATTCTAATTCTAATTTACGAGAACATAATTTGTATGAGAACTTTCTTTCCTTTTTCAAAGGAACCACATCAACAAAAAAGTACTCGTGAGCATATTATGATAAACGGCGAGACTATATCACTGTAGTCAGAGAATCTCCCAATTGTTGGACTGCAGTAATTTGGACGGTTAGCTGTGGGTTAAATGAACGTTTGTGCTCCCTCAGCGGTTCATCATGCTGCTAACAGAGCATCTGGTTCGCTGTGAGACGGGCAGCGTGGAGATCAGCACGCCGTGGTACAAGAACTGCATCGAGCGGCTGCAGCAGGTCTTCCTCATGGTAAGACACATGCACAGACACACACACGCTGCAGTAACACAAAGAATTGTGTGAATGACGCCTGTGCATCTCTTCGCCCCGCAGCACCATGTGACCATCCAGCAGTACATGGGAACCCTGGAGAACCTGCTGTTCACCGCAGAGCTCGACCCACACATCCTGGCCGTGTACCAGCAGTTCTGTGCCCTGCAGCTCTGAGACACACACACACACACACAGGCACATGTAATTGGATGAAATGTGTACTTAGAAACTACCAGCTCTTGCATCAAGAATACCCTCATTTCAGTTTTTTTTCTGTGTTTGGTGCCATTTGATTGGTCGGCGTTGAGGACTTCCAAAAATAGGAATTCGAATCCTGTGTGTCATTCATTTTTCTGTAGTATTTTTTTAGTTTTTAGTTTTTTGCTTTGGTATTTTTAAATTCTGTTTTCATTGTTACATCCTGCTCGTATTCTTATGAATGGGTCTTTTAAAAAAACGATCTGAGTCCATAAGGCCGCAGGATGAAGGAGGGCAGGCGGAGAGGCTTCCGGTCGCCTGCGCAGCGCTCTACTTTTTTTTATATTTGTTTTACCTGGAATTGGAATTAAAAAGTCTTTAACCGCCTGCTTGTTTGCATCATTTTGTGCCACTCAATCATCTTCCCCTCTGGCTTAATTTATTCTGGATGATGGAATCCAAAAGGGCAGAGTGGTTGGATGACGTGTGATCATTTGAAAGAAGTCCCTTTGAGCATCACTGGAATAAGTTCATAGAACTTAGCAATACTGATACACGACAACTTTTCCTTCTTCTTGGCTTTAAATGAAACTAATAATGCATCTATCAACATTTTTAAATGTCTGTAATATGAATCTTGTATTACCTTTTTAACCAAAGATTCTAGCATTTTTAAAAGTTTGAACCAGCAGGTGTTTCGGTATTTTGGCTTCATACATAGTTGTTTATTAAAGGTTAACCGCCTGCTGATGTTCTGCTCCTCTGGTTGAACAGCTTTCAAAATACGAGGAATAAGGAAATCGTATTAAGAACATGAAAGATCTCCCTACTTAACCTCATCTTCTCATTGAGGACTAAAAAAGAGATCCTTGAGGTAACATTTTATTGTCATTCGTAAGGTATTGAAAAACGAAACTGCGTCAGTAATCAGAAACACTTGAGAAGAAATAGTTCTCATATTTACACATGTAAGATCTGAGGTCAGACACCTCCACTTCATTCATTTCCTCCTAGTTTCCCAAGTCGTTCAGCACAAATATCTGTGCAATATAAAAATCAGTTGTGCTTTAGTTGCCTTCACTAGAAGGATTTTTCGTACGGTAATAAACATCTACCATGAACAGCAATCATCGCTGTTTATTGCACACATCTCTATAAAATAAACTCTTCAAGGCTTCCACGTCCTCTAAGCAGTCCTTCAACTGAAGTCATTAGTTAAATGCTATTGGTTATTGTTATTGGTGGTATTTATCACCTTGAAGACCAATAGTGTTACTCTGATTTGGTTTATTAGCTGGGACCAGTAGTTCATCACAGATGACTCAACGGAGCTCTCAGATAACCAGCAGTTACTACACTGTGTTCATAGTGGTTTTAGTACAACAATCATGTGCTCATGATCAGCAGCAGAAAGTCCAGTTATCCTCTGCGCCTTAGTGCAACACGGCCATGAATGTTTTTTTAGGGATGTGAAAGGGTTCCCCGAGCAGAAACAATGCATTTATCCAGAGCGGTGGAGCTGCATCGAGTTCTCCTTCATTCAAATCTCAAAGACATGATCAGTGTGGGAATGTTCTCCAGGATATCGTGTTCCCACAGATGTGCTCTCAAGAAATTATTTTGTGTAAAAATAAAAAATGCATATATGTATATTTAAATGAAGCCGGCTGAGTTCATTCACGCCCCTTTTCTAGAATATTATAAAGATTTTGTTTAAAAGAATAGCAACACATTGAATGCCAAATCTGCTATATGGGGCATCATACCAAATTTGTTCAAAGGGCTGTCCCACAACAAGAAACCACGTTTAACGAAACGATTAAGAATTCAGACACAGACATTTGCTAAGAATATGTTCTGGTCTATTTAAACCCAACATATTAAATTAGATAGTGATAAGCTAAATATATTAAACATCTAGTGTACTTTCTTTGGGAAGTAGCTGTCCCCCCAACCCTGAGATTTATATTTCAATTTAAAAAGATTTTTTTCAATGGTATAATTGCAAAGATCTTTATAAATAGTTTGAATAGAAGTTGTACGATTTCTTTTGAGAAGGGAAGGAATCTTAACGGGGTAATAATAAGACCTTTTTACTATAGTATTACTATGAAAATTTTTGGGAGAGGAAAAACATCCCAAAATTGATGTTTCCTTTGCTCGATATTTGTACTTAGATATGGTACAATGTATAAAAAGACAAGGTTTTGGGAAACATATAACGTTTAAAAATATTCCAACCTGTTTTTGAACCAATCTGGTAGATGGCCCCCAGATTTTGGCCCCCGGAATAAAAATAAATAAAAATCTTGATTCCGAGGTTCTACTTCGTACCAAAGACACAAAACCGCAGGTTTGATAACACCCACAATTCCCTCTGTCTCACGCCTTCACGCTCGGTGCGCTTTCGGAGGTGGTCGGGGTCTCTCTCCGCCCGGTCCCGTACACCGGCCGCTCCTCGGCCTCCAGCCGCCGGTATCGGGTGTGGAAGAAGATCACAAAGCAGCAGGTGAAGAAAGCGCAGAGCCCGGCCATCACCATCATCGGCACTGAGGGGAGGTTAAAAGGTACGACTCTGTTTCAAATGTACGACTTTTGTGTCAAAGGTACGACTCTGTTTCAAATGTACGACTTTGTGTCAAAGGTACGACTCTGTGTCAAAGGTACGACTTTGTGTCAAAGGTACGACTTTGTTTCAAAGGTACGACTTTGTTTCAAATGTACGACTTTGTGTCAAAGGTACGACTGTGTCAAAGGTACGACTTTGTATCAAAGGTACGACTCTGTGTCAAAGGTACGACTCTGTGTCAAAGGTACGCGTCTGTGTCGAAGGCTCAACTCTGTTTCAAAGGTACGACTTTGTTTCAAATGTACGACTTTGTGTCAAAGGTACGACTTTGTGTCAAAGGTACGACTTTGTTTCAAATGTACGACTTTGTTTCAAATGTACGACTCTGTGTCAATGGTACGACTTTATGTTGACGACTTGACGCCTTTACATCTTCTGCCGCAAACTAAAGACACAACTCTTCAGACTATGCCTCAACTAAAAAGACTAACAAATTGCAGCACTTAAATTGTACTTATAATGGGTCATATCTATAGAAAGTTGTATATCCGGCTTATTTAATGAAATTGCACTTGCTTGTTTCTTGTTCTTGTGAGTTTGTATCCTTATGGTTAAAATGGATAAAAGTGTCAGCTAAATGACATGTAATGTAATGTATCTCTGTATCAAAGGTACGACTGCCTGTTAAAGCTACGACTTCATGTCAACATCCCCCAGCAGGTCCCCTCCGTCAGCACGCTGAAGAAGGACCGACTGTGGAATGTGGTGCAAGTAGAAGTTTTACTTTTCTTAGAAACAAATTGTACACCTACCCTTCCAGCTCAGGACAGCGTCCCCACAGGTGGACAGAGGAGAGTCGGCAAGGCGTTTGGTCAAAGCCTGAAGGAGGACGATGTAGAGAACCGACTGGATCTGTCTGTAGAGGATCACAGGTGTGATTAGTGGAGACGACACAATGAGCAAGGTCAGATGAAATACTGCATATTGTTTTTGTTCTGACTTTGAGATTTTTCTTGTGTTACATAATAAACTGCTTGTTTCGCATTTCATACAAAAACAGTTCTTTTCCTTTTTGCGCCAGTCAAACTGTTGAGCAGAAATAAAAACACCGGACAGAAGTCATCAGTACCCCGACACGAAGACGAGCCCGGCCGACGTGGCCTCTCCGACCGGGTATGAACACTCCACCGACAGCTCCATGGCAACCGGGTAGATGGAGAAACCAAAAAAGCCGAAAAGAGAGCAGACGACGGCCACGGCGACTTTCTGCTGCTGCATCAGAGCCACCTGAGAGGAGGAGAACAAAGACCTGTGAGCATTTTCCCGTCGCCTGCAGTTCTTCCTGGAACCGCTTCCTTCCTTCCTCACCACGGAGAAGGCGATACACGACAGCGCGCTCAAGCTCATGTTGATCTTCGTCGCTTCTATAAACCTCTTGGTCTTGTCGACGTAGACGCCGAGGAGGATGGCGCCCACGATGCCGGACACGATGAAGAGGGCGCCGCAAACGCCGGCGAAAGTCTGCGGCGGCGAGAGGTGGTGATTAAAGTCATCCAGGATGATTGTATCTTTGTACATTTCTGTTCTGTCAACACGGTTATTCATGCATTTATGAAGTTAATAATCAAATGTATTTAGTCTTTGCTTTTAGACTGCAAATATGCAGCCTGTGTCTTTAACTGCTCGTTTCAAACCACTTGGTCAGGTTTAACACCTCACTGTTCCTCCATCGTCCTCCCGATGTAACTTACGTTGGTGTACCCCTGCACGCAGAGGATCTGCTCCAGCAGCGTGGAGAAGCAGGTGAACACGGCGATGCCCGACCCGAAGCACAGCAGCAGCACCAAGTAGGCCCGGTTCGTCAGCAGCTGAGGAGACAGATGTGGGATGAGAGTCCAAAGGTCAGGATACTTTTAGTCATTGGATAATATCTAACAAGGCAGTGCCTGGTGGACTGGTCTCTGCTGGAGTCTGAGCTGAAGGAGGTTCTGCTGAACCTGCATGATGTCATCTGGTACCCCCAGAATCCGACCCGGCAGGACCGCTGACGAGCGTTAAGAAGAACTGTACAGAACTATGGGATATTGTCGTTGACAGGTCATCAAAGACTAAACTGAAGAGCAAAACTACCAAATCCCTCTGGAATCTGCATCAGGCAGATTTCCAACCCCTCCCAATGCCCCTCTCACCAATTTGATCCCCTTAAAGAACGGCTCGGAGCTGGAGGAATCGGCACTGGCTGACGGCGGCGTGGGGGGCGAGCTGCTCCGCATCCCCACCGTTGCTAGGACACAGATGATGCATGCCGGGACCGCGTACACAAGCAGCTGGAGGAAGGATGAAACACACACACACACACAGGTAATGTGATGATGAATGGAGGTTAACACCTAAAATCAAAGACCATTTATCATCATTAGCAGGTGAGCTGCCACAGAGCCAGAGTTCGGCTGCTGCAGTTTTCTACATCAGCTGCTGCAATCCTACAATGCCCCGTGGGAATCCTCCAATTCTAGGTCAGCTGATATCTTTTTCCTTTCAGTGGACGGTGACAGAAAGGATCCCAGTGAAATTCAAGACATTACAGATTATTATTTATACCTCTGCAAGAGATTGACTATTTGGTTCCAACAGTTAAAACCAAAGGAGTACATGAAAAAGAGGCTGAAACTATTCAGCAGAGCTACCGGTTTGCATCTACAACCTGATCCCAGTCAGTTGAGCTTACCAGGTACGGGATGCGTTCAGGTGTTTCAGCAATCAGGGGGGACGAGAGGCTGGCGACAAGGATGCCCAGAGGATTGGCTGAGGAGGGAAAGGAGAAGTGGAGCAGAGGGTTACTCTCAGCTTATTGAAATGAAAAGTCACTCTGTGCTCTCAGAGACAGAATCGTGTGAAATAGATACCAAACAAGAATAGTCCAGCCAATGGTTTGTTACAAAGATGTTAATTAACATAGATTCGGGCATCTTGTGCTCGTGGAGTCCGACATGAGGCGCAAAATCAATCGCTGTTGCACTGTTGATAAGTTACAATTGCAACAACTTCAAAGAGCGACACTGCAAAGCCCACAAAACTGAGGTTGACACACAGACGTTCAGGAGAAGCTCAAACAATAAACCCCGGTGTGTCTGGTGTGTATGGCTGTTTTCCCAGAAGGTAGATCACTCACACATGGAGGCCATGGTGTTGGCGATGGCGCGCTGGTGCTCAGGGAACCAAAGGGCCGCCATCTTGGTGGGGGCGAAGATGATGAGGGGCTGAGCCAGGGCGCCGAGGGTCTGGCCGCACATCACCAACAGGTACTTGAGTGGAAAAGCCGGCCCCTTCTGCACGAAGGCCCCTAAGAAGCGCAGCAGAGCCCCGGCCATGTTGAGCCAGGCTCCCAGAATCAGCTGCAGAGGGAAGAGGGCGTCGGGTCACAATGCCGCAGCAGAGTGGAGACATTCTGCTGTCATTTTGTGTGGGTACAATATGTCCGAATATGAGCTTCTCCGTGAGGGATTAACCCGTACCGTGGTCCGCAGCCCGAGGGTGTCCAGCATCCACGTGGTCCCGAAGCTGAGCGGGATGGCCACCACCATGTAGACCAGGGACAACCAGTTGATTTGCTCCAGAGAGGCCCCCAGGAACTTGGCGGACTGGTCTGCTACTGGTGCAAAGGTCAGCCATAACTGGGAAAACACGTGTGGAGATTTGTTCAAAACTTGAGCTGCGTTATTTAATAATAGAATCAGTTCTTAGAGCCTGTGATATGAATTTGAGGTACAGATATATTATACCAAATTATATTATTGTACAGGAGGGGCGGCTTTAATTTTGAAATACTTCGATTCTGGCTTAATATGCAAATGTTACATAATAAGGATATGATTCAAATCTTATTTTCTTAAAAAAAATATATATATATACACACACCATTTTTTAAATCTGCAAGACGTTATCTAATTTCATAAAATATGTTTATTACAAGTTAGCAGCAAAATTAAAATTTTCAGTTTTTCTTCTTTCTGTCACTCCTTTTGAAACAGTCATGTGACCTGGACACAAAGAGGAAATGGCTCAACTTGCTCGGCTCATGTGAGAGAGAAATGGTTCGGACATTTTCATGCTACCGAACAAACACACAAACAGACAAACAAGTCTCTTTGTGGTGTCCTTTTATTTAAGACAAACTTAAATGCAGGACTACTAATGTATTGTTTTCACTGCTCAGATTTAGATGTAAAAGGTTTAGTGTAAAGCGGCATTCCGAACAATACATTGAGAAAAAAACTAAATAATAACAAAGGTTTAAAATTCCACATCAATACTTTGCAAACATCTTTGTCTATTGATGCCTTTAAGTCAGACGATGCCGCTGCAGTTACGTTATCTCCTGAATGTCATGTGAACTAGTTTGTCCCTTGGCGGAGGAGAACCTGTTAACCCGGCTGCATTCTGCACTTCTGGGCTCGTATACCTGCGTTTCTGGGTGTCGACATCTAGTTTTTCCAACATGTGACTGAATGAGAAAGTATCTCTTTGGCAGCAGAGGAAGAAGAGATTCATCCTTCAATCCACAATAAATTAATCTACGGTTTACTTCAAACTGAGACTCAAATTAAATGCAAGAACAAGCATCTAAAAACCTAAATATCTATATTTTGTACTGCTTAACCACTCTTCATTCAACGCACATTTAAACTACAATGAAAACACTTGTACTCTCAGTCACTACAGAGCCAATAAATACATCTTGCAAACATGCAATGTGCAGGAACCACGTAGCTGCAGTGATGAAGACTTTGCCGGCCAATCGGATTTGTTTCATGGATCTAAAAGCAAGTCACACACTAGAACCAAAGATCTCATGTAAAGTCGATCGCACTCGTCTGGAGAGAAGCTTGTAAAATCAGCTGCTAAACTAAACGCTGCAAGCACAAAGGCAGCAGCAGCTGGACAATAAAGAAAACCTCCTTCATGCAGAGGGAACGTAAGCGGGTCAGCTGAGCTGAACTCACACAATGGCGGTCCTGTCTCCTATGGGGTTTAAAACGTTCACACATTCCTCCTCTTCTTGTACGGTAGTGTGGAAAGAATCAGGCTTCAATGCTTCTCGGCGTGTATGATATATATATATATTTCATTCTATGAAAGCTATCCAGTTTCAACACATTTTGAAAATATCAAATATTGGTCTCAAGAGCAATGCGAGCAAATGAACGGACTACAAAATACTATTAAAAAAGGTATTCAAACGTTATAACAGAATAGATTTATTTATTTTTAACCAACATGTAAGCTGCTAAGATAATCAAAAGACTTTAGTCCGGGAATATGTGGCTACACATTTATATAACGCTATAAACATGTTATTTGACAAAAAAAATGTTGTTCTTTTTAAATACTATATATATAAAATTTAATATACATATGGTACTTCCCCTGGAAGTGAGCCTTAGCGTCATCGGTAAGTATCAAGGGAGAATATAACCCTAAAGTTTCAGTTAAGAGCAAAAAACACTTTTAATTCTCACAAAAAAATGGATTCTTTCCAACAATGTGTCACAACACAAAACAAACACCAAATATCTTAATAAATAAATAAAATCAGTCTGATCAAATATTAATACCGTTCAAAACAAGCTTATGTTAATTGAGAGTGTATTTAAAAGCCTAATGGGGAGTGGATTTCATCAACCTTTACGAGTTATATCTTTAACTCTTTTAAATGAAGTGTCCGGTCTTACATTAAAGTCTTCCCCCAGGAGCAGCTTTTTGTGGATGGACACTGACACACATGCCTCTCACAACTCCTCCTAAATCTGATCAACAGGACAAAAACCCAAAGTGATTGATGTCAGACCGCCTCGTCAGCTGTTATTTGCCACATCGTGGATGATCGTCGGCCAGCTGAGCCTCCTTTGTGAGCAGGGAACAGCGGCCCCGTGGAAACAAAAGCTCCCACAGAGAGAGGACCAGTCCCACGGGAGCCCACTCAATATTCAATGACAACACCCGCGGGGATTTATATCAGATCCGGCACACACGAGGAGGCCCCACATGTCGTCTACCAGCACCGCTCCGGTTCAAACATTTCTGCCCCCCCCCCCCGCTTCTGTATTCTCCATCCATCTCTGGAAAAGCATTTTCAGATATCTGAGGGAGCTGTCACTTAAACTATCATTTAAGCGGCAGATACTATTGTGTGCATGAGGAGTTCTTTAAGTGGAGATATTATCAATAACCTTTTAAAAGGCCCCAAAGGCTTTACATTTTGTATGAGAAATATAAGTACGTAATTTTTACGTAATCAAGTACGGCACTTAAGTACAATTCTGAACGTGGGAAATTTGGGAATATTCTTCTTTTTACAGCATCTGTTTATGAATACAAAATATGAAACAAAAATGAATCATAACGATTTATCCACATCAAGTCATTTCTAAACTGTGACATTGGTGATGAATGTACATGACTGCATAACTCATTATGATCCAATCATAATGATAATACATTATTCTAAAATGAGCCATTTTGCAAAATTTACTTGCATTGATTTATATATTATTCATTCACTAACCATTTTGTTTTTTGTGTGTGTGTTTTACAAGAACACAAGCATTACACTTGTAACAGTATTGCTACACTGTTGTTATTTTTTTACTAAACTACAGAATCTGATTATTTAAAAGTTAAAGGTTTAAACTTTAAATTTTAGTTTGCGACATTTGGGTTTTAATGCTAATCAAGGTCAATATTAATTATTGAACATTATTTCTGCATCCCCGCATCTTGACGACCCGCAAAAACAACTTTTTCCCTGAAAACTAAAGTTTCTCGCAGTTGGTGTTTAACTGACTTAAATGAACTTTAACTAACGTTAGTTAGCCGTGGTTGACCGTGGAGTTAACTCTAACGTTACTTAACGCTAACATCTCACCGTGGCGTTGGAGCAGTTTAACAAACACAGGACCAACAGGACGAACCACCTCCTCTTGTAGACTTTAAAGGACAAAAGTTTCTTCAGCTCGGCGTCTGGTGTCCTCGGAACCGGGGAGGAAACCGAGGAGGACACCGTCTGGACCTCGGTGTCGGGACCGGCAGCATCCTCCATCGGTATTTTCGGCGTTGCCCAAGTTTGCCGGTTCAGCTAGCAAAGTTAACGTCTACTGTAGCTAACGTCAGCTAGCCGCGTTAGCTACACTGCACAAGTGACTGAGGCATTCAAAGTTGTTGTTTTTCACTACTACCAACAAAAAAAAACGGTTTTAATCGTTAAAACAAAACGCTGTAAATCCATTGTGTTGTCTCTTGAAGCGTCACGAAGTAAACGGACACCGGGAAAATTTAACGGCGGGGCGAAATGTCTTTATGATTCACGAGCGTCTCACTGTACCACACATCAAAGATCTTCTCTGGTCAAGATGAGCACCTCTGCCCTTAAAACCACGGCCCGGGATAAACACGTCTATGCCAACGACTCCCGTAGTTTTTAGGCACGAATCACTTGCAAATACAAAATGTCAAGCATGACAACGTGTGGCTGTTGGTAGAAGAAGGACTCTTATCGCCCTTATTTTCAGTTAATTTGTGTCATTTGGGTTTTTCTGAGAACATCAGTGACCAGTGGTTTATCTCGTATCTCAACACTTGGTCTTTGCCTCCTTGAGTCTCCCTCCAGAAAAATTCCAGTCTACTCTGATTGGCTTGCAAGATAGATAAGATATTGCTGCACAAAAAACAACTTTAAAGGTTAAAAGAAGGGATCGCTAGTATCGTGCAATTGGGGTTCAACAAAAGTACAAGAAAATCTGGTCTGCACATTTTAAAAAGCTCATGAGCTGTCCCGCCAACATGTGTGCGAAAGGAAGGCCGCGTGCAACCAAAGAGCGTAGAGGACAACATTCTTTTATTTCGAGCTGAAATGTAGATCAGTGAAAGTATAGGAAGTAGAATACAATAATAATACACAAACAAATTAGAAGTGTCTTAAAATTAAACACTGAACTATGTAGGCCAAATACGCAAAGGGAATATCTGGTTGCCATTTGCACTTTTGTATCAAACATGACTCTGATAACTGCCGGTTAGAGTCATGCTCTTAATTATGCTCTGAAGTTGCATTGGTAAATAATAAAACGCTGAAATTAACTGTTATTGTCCGGCTTGAAAAAGGTTCCTTTTTGTACCTGGTAAAAAGAAGGGAGTGAGAGGTCTTCACTTCTTAAACTTCTCAAAGGCCACCGGGAACAACATCACAACTCCCGCCTCCTTCTTCAACCCTTCGGAGTCTCTTACACCACGTCAGGATTTTCACGAAATCTATGAAACGAAAGTTACACTCAGTGAAAAGTGAAACTCTTTTATTTTGGTCGTTTGTGTATTGTCAGCGATACACATGAACTGCCACTATAACTTTAATTAGAAAAATAATAATGGTCATAGTAATGATGCATGTTATTACTGTTGGAATAGTACTTTTTCATGATCTCAATAAATCACAACCTTTTTTTAAAGAAAAAGACAATCTTGATTTGTTAAGTTGAAATCAGAGGAAATATTTTTCGATTAATACATGTTGTTTATCGAGAATCTCCAGGTTGTTGAAATGGTTAAAACATAAATGATAATTGAGCTATTAAAAAGCGAGAAAACTGAAACCTGGCATTTATGTCACTGGGATCTTTAGTTGAAGCTCCTTTGGCATCAACCACATATACTCCAGACATCTTGGCCGTGACGCTCAAGGGATTTTCCGTCGTTCTTCTCTGCAGATCTTCTTGAGCTCCATCATTTCGGATGACATAGTTTGCTTATGGTCGGTTGGGCTCAAGTTGTCCATGAGCCTCTCGTGTGTTGTGGCGACGTTGTACTTTTGGGTCATTGTCCGGTCGAACGCTCAACCTTCCTCAGAGTCTGGGGATTCTGACGATCTGGACCAGGGTTTTTTTTTTTTAATCCAGGACATATATCTACTTGGCTCCATTCACCTTTTCCCCCAGCTGTGACTAGACCCACAGTCCCCGCTGCCGAAAATCACTCCCACCTGTACGTGGAAGCCAAACCTCTCTGATTCTCTCTCAAGCATCTTGATTCTCACGGTCGGAGAGGCTTTTCATGCAAATTGCAAGCGGCATTTTATTTGTCTTTAGAGCTGGTTGTTCCAATGTAAAAGTAATACAAAACTATTGTGGCAACCTTTCCTTAAACCCGGCGCCTCCTCACCATCCTGTCTGTGGCTTCTCATATGCATCGCATGCATCATATAGACGTGTAGCTCTCTGAACCCTGTCCAATCATCCTGTGCATTTACCCAAGGTTGACTCCAATCAAGGTGTAGAAGAAGCTCAAATGTAATCGAGTGAAAGGGAAGGAGCCTGAGCTGAACTTCAGACGTCACAGGGTTTAAACACTTGTGTCCATGTGATATTTCAGCTTTTTCCTTTGCATCAACATCAGTACAGAAAATAGAAAATGCAAATAACAGAAGACATTCACTCTGCAGCCGGAGGCTCCATGTTTTCAGAGGACCCGTCTCAGGGGAATTTCTTGAGATTTGGCATGAATCCGCTTTGACCAATCTGTTTTGGAGGTCAGAGGTCACCTTGACCGCACATAAAGACCATAATAATGAATTAGCTGATTATGGCGGCTGACAGCAAAATGCGTGAAGAAATGCTTACTTCCTAAAGGTCGACCTCCGGGTCATCGGTTGAGGAAAAGCAATAGTTGTATTTCACAGTCAGTTCATATGGAATCCAGAGAAAACAATTGCTCCAAGGAATGATTAAATCCATATTTAATGTCTTCAGGCTTTCATAAGCACTGTCCCAAACAGCTTAGAGAATATGGTTTGCATAACTCAATATACTTTAATTCAGAAACATGTCAATGTGGCGAGAGGAGTCACGTGTTGCAGCCGGGTCACGTCCTCTCAGGAGGCTTTTCATTGGCTCATTCGCATTCCTGAAAGATGGCATCTTGTTCTAGTCCTAGTTCTCCGCCACTGTATTCGGGGCCTAAGAATCACACTTAACTAACCGGTAACTCGCTCTTTGGCCTCTTCGTGCAAAACTCGCCAGCTCTCGGAAATGACTCAGAACCTGATTGAGTTAATGTAACCACAGCAACTGAAAGGGGTTTCAATCGAGTTACTGCACATCCTGCGCTAAAAAGAGTAAGAGGAGATTCTGCATTGTGGTGAAAAACTAAAAAACCTGGCTGCACCGTGAGGTCTGAAACCTCCGAGGGTCAACAGATACTGAAATGCAAAGAGTCTCTTTTCTTACAGGATTGTGTACTGCAGCTTTAAGGAATTAGATACAGAGTTTATTCATATTTTACTCAACTTTTTGCTGTATTTTAAATGCTGTTTTTCAGTTTTCTTAACACGTTGATACATCTTATATAATGATATCAACTGGTTATTACTGATATAATTGGTACCTTTTGCATATGTTTGCTGTGTTCCTCAGGTGGAGCTGAAAGCGTTGCTTTGGGGGAAAAGAGAGGTCTGCAGCACCTTGATGAGCCCGCTAACTGGGCCCTGCTTGATGATGGACGGTGCTTCAAGTATTTGTTTTACTTATAAACCAGTTTTTTTTCCGCATTTCGTATTTAAAGATGTGCATAAACCTGGCATAATAAATAAGGTTGAATAAAGTGTTACCTCTTTTTTCTTATTTTTGGTGAAAAGACACTTTTGGTTTTGGTGATACCACTTAATCTACTTGGTGGAGCTTCCAGTTGTTACAGTTCATGTATATTTTTGTGCTCTTTACATTTGAATACAGCTTCGTTCTTGACATAAGACAATGATTTAGAATCTTCTGATCATCTTCAAAAAGTATTTTTCATGAGCTCACTACCAGCATATCATGAAACCACGTGTGAATTCTCTTTAACTTTTGTGAAACGCCATAACTGAATACTTGTTCGAAAAGGATCCATCCGAGGAGACAAACGCACCGGGACATTGCAGCTCTATTTGTCCCCCAATGAAAACAACCGTCGATGCGCTATTTCCTTAAAATGAATAATGAATGATACACTCAGCGGATCGATTTTGAAAACGAGTTGCACTCATCAACCCCCCCCCCCCGCTCTCTCTTTCTCTTCCCCTCCCTCCTCGCAGATGGCCGCCCACTGCGCATGCGTGGCGCTGCTCCGGTACTGCTGCTTCGGCCTGTTCCGCGGCCGCTCGGTCATTTTCGCCTCTTTGTTGTACTGGTAGTGGATTTAACTCGGATTCAACCCCAATATCAAGCGGACCGTGCTGCTCCCAACCAGGTTAGTTCCTCCAACTGGACTTGTCCCTCCCGCGTTCCGTCCCCGGTCGGGTCTATCGCCGGTTTACGGTCCCGGTTCGTGCCCCCCGCCCCCCACCTACCCTCCGCGCCTCCTCCTCCTCCTCATTTTTTCGCATGTCTCTTTCCGCTTGGTGCTACGGGGCATGCTATGCGTGTTCTTCTGTGTGTGTGTGTGTGTGTGTGTGTCTGTGTGTGTGTGGCGGCGCCGGGGCCCGGCCGTTGCACACCGGGCTGGAGGGGGGGGTACGGAGGTTTCTGATGTGAGGTGTGTGTGGGGGGGGGAGACGTGCATCGTAACGCTAGCCGGTGGATGCACACGGTTAGCTGCCCCCGGGGGGGAGGAGGGGGAGGAGGGGGAGGAGGCTCCTCCGGCGGCCGCCGCCGCGCTGCCTGTCTCGTCATGTTCTTAAAGGCTGTTGTTCCTCTCGGACCGACACCCGGTCCTTGTTTCCCGCTGAGCCCGAATGTTCTTGACGGAACCCCCCCCCAAAGACCCTGGTCCACCATTAGGCTAACCTCGCCCCCCTGCCGTCCAAAGTTCAGTGTGTGTGTGTGCGTGCGTGTGTGTCTGTGTGCGCGCGTGCATGAGGTTTAGATTAAATCAAGACAGAAAGTTGGTGCATTCTTTTCTTGTTTCGGGTGCAGGTTGAACCTTAACCAGACCTCTGCAGCGAGGAGTCCTGTGGCATTGGGTTTTTTTGGGAGGGGGGGGTATGCAGAAAGCAGCCAACAAGTTTGTGCAGTTTCTTTTTGTTTGTGTGTGTGTGTGTATGCTCACCTCCACACATTAACTGAACCAGGCTCTTCACCTTCTGTGGTTTTCCAAAACACTCCTCACCTGGCGGGGGGGGGTCGTAGAGGCGCACGGAGGTGTCCAGTGGGCTTGATGTGGTCGTCCGCATGAAGTGTACCGGGTCTCGACCACACGCGCGTTCCAACACCTCTCTCACTCTGACCCGTGGAGGATGTTCTCACAACCGAGGAGACTCGAGTGACGTTTCTGAGGATTGACACGGTTTAGTTCCCAGCGGTTGAAGTCTTGAGCTGAGAACATATACGGTCAGTAAGATGTGTGGACTTGAGATTCAATCGAGGACAGTTTACTGCTTCGCGGGCAAAAACAAAAACGCATCAGACGATCAGAGCCGATAGGAAACCAATCTTCCGTGGAGCAGGAACAGGTGAGACACGTTGCAGAGTCCGTGCCTAAAATCGACAAACAAAGACGTCTGTCCATCTTTTGCAACCCCCCCCCCCCCCCCTGCCTGGCCTGGTAAAAAAACACAAATCCGTTGCGATAAGAAAACACCGTGTGTTTTCACACCCTATGGGGCCTCGGCAAACTCTCTTGCCTCAAAGACCCCCCCACCACACACACACACACCTAAGTGTGACCCGTCCCTGCCGGAGACGTATCATATGACACGGCTGTTGCATAAGACGGCCCGAGCCGAAGCTGTCACGTCAGGTTTCTGCTGACTTTGCAGGGTAAAACCTCGAGTGACCTCTGACCTCAAGTCGAACAACATCTAACGTAGATTTCTACTGCAGACCCTACAGCGTACGCCCCCTCCCCGGCTGCTTGATAACAAGGGGGGAGGTAAACTAGAGGAGATGCATCTTTTACCCCCCCCCCCCCCCACGTCTGTGGCAGGAAGTGATCCCCGGCAGCTTCCTAAAGGAGCCGGTTTCTCCCCCTCAAACATTTGACGGGACGTAGAAGGCGGGAAGTAGATCACACGTACGAAACGACATTCGGACAGTCGAGGACGCATCGCATCTGAAAAAAACCCTCCACGGGGTTCTTTATAAGATGTGAAAGTGCTGCGCAGCCGTTTAGGATTCTTCAAGTTCTTCATCAGATTCTTCATGTTCTCCGTTTGGAGCGTTGCTGAACCTGCAGGAGCTTCCTGGCGGGCGCTGGCTGACCTTTTGTGACCCATCGACTGACGGTTCAGATCTTTTTTATAACTCTTCATTGCGAGGATGCGGCGGCCCGAGGGCAACGTACCACACGCAGAACAGAACGAATCTCGACAGGCCGAGAGATCGAACGTACGGCAAGAAAACCCTCTGAACCCGAGTGATGGCTCATTTTCTAGAGTAGATATTTAAACTAGAGCACGAAATGAGAACAAAGATGTTTTTTTTTCTGCATTCAGATCATAAACTCTACTCTAGTCAGCGCGTATAGAAACCTGTAAGACCAGAGGAGGAGTCAAAAATACACATTAAATCATTTCAGAATATAGATAATTAACATCAAATTGCTACAGAATGTAAATAATTAACATGAAATCGCTGCAGAATGTAGAGAATATCCATTACATTAGTTTTGAATGTAAAGAATACACACAAATCCGTGCAGAATGAGGTCCTCGGGGCGGGTGGGGGGGGTCACGCTGACTCTTCCCTCTGCAGGTGAGATCCACGGGCCACTGGTCGTATGTTTTATGTCAACATCTCATCCGGTTTTTTGAGCGTTTAAAGGCTGCGGCCGGCTCTCATGTTGACATCAGAAACTCCAGCTGAAGGACAGGGGGACACCAGGTCTCTCCTGTCCCTCTGCTCCTGTCCTGCACCGGAGTCCCTCTCCCGGTTCTCTTTGGCTTCAGTTTGTCGCGTGGAGAGTTTCTCTTTCGGATCTGAGGGGACGTCACCTTCCATCTCCACAGCACAGGTTCCACACGCTGGTTCTCCATCGGATTTATTGGCTTGTTTCTGTTGCTGAAAACATCCAAACTCCGGCTTCTTGTTCATGTTAGTTTTGGAGTAGTTGGTTGTTTTTTGAGTGTTTATTATGTTGTCTTCTACTCGGGGGGGTGTTTGGGTTTTAACCCTCTCAAATGTGGAAATATATCCCTCATTATTGCAGCAATTTATGCCTGTTGCGCCTTCTTTGTAATAACAAGTGGTTATTACACAAGTTGCTCTAACAAAGCGTCCTTCTTCTAGTGAGAATATACATGAAATATGAGGCTTTTGTGCACTTATGATATTTATTTGAATGCACTCAATCAGCTCTTTGTTGAATGACTCACGGGACACGTGATTGGTCGACACAGTTTCTTTTTCTTACTGGCGTGTGTGATTCATCAATTTGAAACCAGAGATTTTTTTTTTTTTTCTACCACCACCGCTTGTTGTTCGGCCACAATCTCAGCCGGCGTGAAGGAACCAGGCGAGAGTTTGGTTGACTGACAGCTGTTTTGAAATGATGCAAACCCTTTTTTTTTTTTTTTTTTACACAGTGATCGATCACTCGATCGCTGAGCATTCGACTCGTTCATCAAGGGAAGAATCGCTCACTTTTGCCCCAATTCGAATGTTTATTCTTCTTGCCCCTGGTTTGCTTCTCCCCCCTTTTGTACAGGAAATACTTGTTGCTGGCGTTGCGTTGCCAGTGCGTTGGGGGGAGAAGACGCGTGGGGAGTGGAAGCCTCCGGGCGCGAACAGACAGGAAGAGAAATGTCCTCTACAGAAACACGCTTCCATTCTGGGATTTTCTTTATCTGTTGTATTTCGGTTCAGAATGAAAGTGAATTAGTTTCATCAGTTCGACTTTGTACTCGTGAAACGTTATCGGTTGGTCCTTTAGCTGTTTAGCAGCTTTTATTAATATTCTGTTATCCATCCACAGAAATAAGCACTCGACATCCAGTCGCCCCCCCCCCCCCCCTCTCCCCCCTCTCTGCAGGAGGTGTGGGTGGTGTCTGCAGAAGGGCGGTGTTGAGATAAAACAAGCGCTCCCTGGGTAAATAGAAGTGTTAAATGGCGCAGGTGGAGGAAACACCGTCAACGGCGGCTGACGCTGACGTGGGAGATTCTTGTCCGTCTTTCATTGTGTCGGAATCTTGAATCTGCTTCGGGTTCCTGGTGGAGTTTTGCAGATACTCGTGGTCATAAACGTTGTTCCTCCCTTAAGGGATCAGATCTGATCCAGCTACACCTCTCTTTCTCTCTCGCTCTCTCTCTTTTGTAAGAATGAATTATTATGATTATGATGTGTTATATAATTATTTAGCTATATGTAGGACAAATTATGTGATGTATTTTGTAGATATCCCAATAAATCTTTTCGTTGAGCACGGCATCGTGAACTAAGGGATTTCCGAAACTAATTGGTTTAAATCTGCTGAAGTTTTTCTTTGAGAAAAGGGGATTTTATTTTGAAAAGAATGCAGGCATCAGTCCAGCCGGAAAACACACGTAAAAAAAGGGAGTAACCTCTCGTATGATATCAAAGGAGCCGTTGTATAATAACCACCTGCTTCTGAAGTGCGTTCGCTCTTTTTAGGTTTTAATTGCAAAATGAAAACCTTCAAGTGATATAAATATAAAGAAAAACTAATGTATTTAGCTCTTCACTGACTTCACTTTTCCACAGATAGAGAATGATTTTAACTAACTACACTGGAAGATTCCCAAGAGCAGAATTGTCTTCATTCTTCATCCAAATTGAGTTGTTTTGTGCTTCTTCAAACGCCCATCGAACCGTTTCCTCTCGCCTGCTAACAGCTGGCGTTCGATGCGATTGATCCGTCCGGCGGCAGATTTGATATTTGGCCTTTTTGATTTGTGTTGAAGGGCTGCCGCTGGTTTTCCCAGAGCCTCGACACGCCTCATGATTCCTTTCGATGTCTCCTCTGCACGGCGTCCTGCGCACGGCGTCCTGCGCACGGCGTCCTGCCCAGAAACGTCATTCTCTCGTCCCAGCCTGCAGAAAGTAATGAGCAGTGCTTCCACATCTGGCGTCCTGTTCCCCTCTCGGTGGATTCCGCCTCCACGTGGCGCTCATCTCCTCGGTGCCGCGAGCGCCGCCGTGACGTCATCACACGGTTTCCCCTGTCTGCGCTGCGGCTCAGTCAGGACCCGTGAAATCCGCTCAACACCTCGATATTTCACAAGGCAGCAGTTACTTATTTTTTTGTAAAACATGTAACGCACAAACTGAATTCTTCAGTGGCAAAACAACTGTGGTCACATTATCCATTTTTGGCCTTTATCAATAATGAACAAGTACATTATTATATTATTAAGTGTAAATCAAAATATCCCTGAGGCCTTCAACGATTAAAATATTTGAAATTGTCCAGTTTTATCTGCAGAGAAGAGGACGATGCGGAGAAAACCGAACCCCAATATTTATATATATATATATATATATATATATATATAATATATATATATATATATAATATATATTTAAGCATGAAATATCAGTGATGTGTCGTCAGTTTGGTTATTAGTATTTACATGATGAAATATTTGATTCTTCATCAATAGTAATGTGGATTTAAGTGAGTTCGGGCAACTGCTGTAATGCATTTTTAAAAACCAGCACCTGATCCCACCTCACACTGTTGATATCGTATTGATTTATTGCGCCGCGGCTGCACGCGGGAAGATTATTCGGAGGAGAGCTGCGTTGCATCTTCACAACATGCAGCAAAGAAATTTGACATTTGGAGGTGGAGACAACGGGCACATGCAGCTCCTCCGCCTCGTCTCTGTTTAATCCGCGCGCCTCTGTCGGCGGTCTGCAGGCGAAGCGCGGAGTTGACTCGGCCTCATTTCTGTTTTTTCGAGGCAGCTTTTCAGCTATCAACCCATCAATCTGCTACGCTGAGATAAAATCTAAACGGTGAAATCCCGGCGCCCTCTCGTCTGTGCTGCTGGATGCTCGGCCCATTACACAGCCTCACGTTTCGGGGGGAAAAAAAGAAGCAGGAGCTGTGGCTTCTTGGCGGCTTCAGTTGAAGGAAACCATCACTCACCTTTCCAACGCCGACTTTATACAAACATTTGAATTCTTGCAACTAATTTTTTTGTGCTGAATACATTCATTTAATGACTTACTTTGACTCTTTGTTGGCTTCTCTGGTTTGCCGAAATGAGTCGAGGGTGTCGGCGTCATGAGTCCCAGACCTCTGAACCTCGAGGGCAACTGTGTTCGGAGGAGTTTATTGATGTCTGCGGTTGTGAAAGGCATCGGGTGCAGCGGGTGCAGCGGGTGTAGCGGGTGTAAGCGGGTGTAGCAGGTATGGTTGTTCAGGGGGCCCTATAATTTATCTGAGGACACGTGATGACAAAGCTGCATTCTCTCTAGTCACCACCAGGGGGCGACGCCTCTGGACCCATAGAAGTCTATGAGAAAATGACTATATTTCTCTCTGGATTTATTCCCTCAAACATTGTAAATCGTTACAGTTTCAAGCCTTCTTACAGCAGGATGTTCATTTACTATATTGTTCTGAAAAGTCGCAGCAATGTGCCATAATCGCACAATTTAGCCGATAATGGCGCAGGGGTAGAGAGTGAACCGGGAGCTGCAAGGTTGGCGGTCCGAGCCCCGGCTGCCCCATGTCCTATGTCGAAGTGTCCCTGAGCAAGACACCCAACCCCTAATTGCTCCCCGGTCAAAACATGTAAAAAGCCATGGGTTAAAACTGCAATGTAAGTCGCTTTGGATAAAAGCGTCAGCTAAATGACCTGTAATGTAATGTAATTCTCACCGCAGGGGAAACCACTCCTTACAAATCATATTAACGGCAGTTTAATTGGTAGGTGACATATGTGCGTAAACGCTTGGATTAAAATAAAAGGTTCCTCATCCAAGCTGTCAAGGTGACGTTTGACAGCTTGTATGATTCACAATGAGAATCATCAATCGGATCTCTACTGAGCTCTATTGTGCGTTTCGCTCTTTGTTTGTGACTCGACTCCTTTTTGGTTCCAGTGTTGATCTTCGCTGTTGCAGAATGCAAGTTTCAGTTATTTCATCACCAGCTTCCCCTTTTTCGGACCCCGGAGGACGCCGTCTGGGGGCGTCACGCTTCGAACAGCTGTTTAAACGCAGATAAACACGCCGGCTTTGACCGTCTGACCTCTGGCTGTATTTAATTTGTGGAAAACAAAACCATTTTTTTAACAAGCTGCTGTAAGTGAACAGGGTCTCGGGTCGTGTGGGTCGCTCCACTCTCCTGGGAGGTCGTCGGGTCCGGAGATCAACAACGGGATCGACTCGGGCGTCGATGCTGCGACCTCGGGTGAGCGTCGTGAACACACAGGTTGTGTTTGTGATAACTCTCAGTCTTAAGTCATTAAGTGTGAGCTTTTTATAAATGTTGGTATCCAACAGCGTTTCACAGCTGCTTCTGTTTAAACCAAAGTGGCTCAACTTTATTGTGAAAAGGAGCGGCGAGGACGAACTCTGCCGGTTAAAGTATCACAGTGAACCACGTTGGACCCTTTTGATTAAATTCAGATCTAGGCAGATTAAAATCTCTTTCTTTCTATTTGACCTTTTTTAATAACGTCGGGAACAAAGAAAAGCTGCAAACGGTCTCATTTGAGACGCTGCAACCACAGAAGATTTGACAGGTTATCTTTAGACTTCACGCTGAGTGGAAACCTAAAAAGCACCAATGCTCCGAGGGGGGTTGTCATTTTCTTGGTAAAGATGTACTGAACAGGAAACCGAAGAACCGTCTGTGAAATGGCCCCTCCGCCCCCCCCCCCCCCCTGTATTTATACCCGTCAAAAGGGGGCTCGGCCGCCTCTCCGCGTTTCCCTGTCAGCGTCAATCTAGGCCTCCACGACCTCGACACCCAAGCTCAATTAACGTTGCTGCTTTCTGGCAGCGCGCTCGGCCTCCTGGCCGGCGGCAGTCTGTTTCTCTTTGCATGGCGTCTATTGTCGACCCCCCCCCACCCCCTCCCTAACTGTGTGTGTGTGTGTGTGTGTGTGACAGTACGGCGGATGTGTGAAGGCTTACAGTTCAGGCAAACCTTTTGTGTGTGTCGTTTTTTTTACTATGTGTGTGTGGCCCAGGGGAGTGTGTGTGTGTGTGTGTGTGTGTGTGTGTGTGTGTGTGTATTGAAGTGAAGCCAAAGCTCCCGCCACAAGAAGAGGCCTCTCCTCCTCCTTCCACGGATGCCGGCCTTCAGTGTCCGTCGCTCCAGCTGGCAGCCAATTTATACCGAGGCCAAACACTCCAATCCCCACAGGCGGGCCAACAGGGGCTCTTTGTGATGCCAGAGTGTGTGTGTGTGTGTGTGTGTGTGTGTGTGTGTCTGTGCTTATCAGCGTCACTGAGACAGTTGCTCAGCTCATAACCGACTGTAAATGTTGCTAATCTGCCGACTTGGCTGCATCCAGGCGACTCGTATCAGGACGTTAGGAGAGCTAAACAACGGCGTGAGCGAGCGGGAGGTTGTTGAGGTAACGCACGCCGTGGCTGTTAGTGAGGCTTTGAAATAGATTCTGGGCAGAGGTCACGCTGTCTGATATTTTGATATCTTTGCTGTTGTTGTTTCTGTTTCACCTGTGGCCTAACCGGTTACATACGCTTCCGTCGCAGTACTCGGATGATTCATCGATGTGTGTCTTGAGTCCACAATCTGATGCACAAATGAGGCGGGTGAATTAGTTGTGGGTTTTGCGATGACCTTTTATTGCATATGATTTTAAATGTAACTTTGGCCAGTGATGCTGCTGGAGCCTCACGTGATGTCATATCGTCCACGTGCATCAGAGGACACAAAGAACCAGCACACCTGTGGCGCGGTTGAAGTGCATCCCACCTCGGCTCTGCAGACGTTGACACGTTTCATTGAGTTTATTGGCGTCTTTTAGAATCTCTTTTTGAGAAGTTCCCTTCTCCCTTTCGGGGTCTGTTAACAATGACGGAGTGTCAACTTTTTCTGCAGGATGTTTTCTCCCCCCCATTTAAACCGGCATGCACACCTGGATTTAGGAAACAGCCAATAGGAAGGCTGCTCTTGGAAACTCCCTTAGTGGTCAGATTGAAGACAATCAACGCAGGGGTCTAGTTTTCAATTCCAAAGTTTATCCAAAGGTGGTGTGTGTGTGTGTGTGTGTGTGTGTGTGTGTGTGTGTGTTAGAAAGGATGTTAGGAAAACATTCTCATGTTTTACTGCAGTGTCAATCATGTCATCTTTTTAACCTCTCCTGTAATATCTCCACCCCCCCATCAGGCACCAATGAGAGGCTCTCCATGATGAGGAGTTAACACTGTCGGCCGCACAACCGCAGGAAGAGACGTGGCCGCTGCACCATCCACAGTCGACGCATGGCGGTGTTAGGGGTGAGCACCGCGGCCCCGCTGCTCACCAGATGGACACTCGGGTTCTCTGATGGATGTATATTTCTGCGAGGACTCTCGCTGTTACTCAGTGTCGCTCTGACTGAAACCCACAGTTACTCATCGGGTTACTCGAAACGCTTCGGTGGGTCATGTGGTCACATCGGGGCAAATGTTCGCCCTCTTAAATTCGGTTTCTTTCTCCCTCCCCAGAACCCCGACATGCTGACGAGGAAAATAAAGCTGTGTCACATCAACGCCCACATCACATGTCGTCTGTGCGATGGATACCTGATCGACGCCACCACCGTCACCGAGTGCTTACACACCTGTAGGTCCTCACCTGCTTCCCTCGCTCCCTCGCTTCCTTTCCTTCGCTGAGTGTGTTCCGTGTATTTAGTTGCATCAAACCTGAAGAATGAGATGCCTGTCATTAGAGGGAAGTGAATTTCTGATGTCAAATATGGATGGATTAAATACAATCTGTTGGCCAAACATCCTCAACAGGGTAAATGTTCAAACCAATTTGATTTGAGTTGTCAAATCAATCATCTTTTAATGTGACCAAAATTCAAAGTTCACACCTTTTTGGAGGTTGTTCTGAAGTCAACGAGGTGAACTCGCGGGATCTGTGGTGAGCTGAAGCTTTCAGTTTCTGGGTGTGAAGTCGAACGGTGCTCTGTGGGTGTTTGAGCTGCGAGGCGTCTGCAGCTGTTTACTGGAGCCCGCACACGTCCGTTACTGGTGTATTCGGGTGGCTGAGGATAATCCAATGAGCCGGAGACACATATTGGCATAGGGCAAACATTTTGGTTTATTTTAAGGAGGAAGAACTACTCACTTGATCCCACTGCTCATGTTTGCCGCAAAAGAATACCTCTAATAAGCTCATCTAAGCGCCCCAAAAGAGAAAGAAGGGATTTATCAAGGACCAAAATAGATAAACCCAGACGATGTGGTGCCTCGTCTGTCCAGCAGAGGGAGCTGCTCCGCCACAGATCTGCTCACTGTGAACATCAGTGGAGACGCTTTGACGAATAAAAAGGGGCTTCGCCATCAGACACCTGAGACAAAGACATTCACATCGCGTCACTGTTGCAGCTTCTCACAGTATATCCCGTCCGCTCTCTGATTGCTTCGTTTTTATATCATCAGTTAGTGGAAGACGGTGAATAAATCAATAGAGGTAGAATCCCAAACATGAAGTGGCTGCAACCGTAAAAATTCCTGTAACTTTAAACAGAATATTGTGAGATATGGACTGTTGCTCTGGAGCACAGAGGCACTACCACCTCCGTCCACAGGGGGCGACAGAGTCCGTATGTGACAGTTACGTAGTAGTAGTTTAGATATTCCCCGTAATTTGCTACATTAAAATATATTTATTTATCAGCTGACATATAAACGATTTAATAATCATCGTGTCAGGATTTTCAGCCACAGACATAAAACAAGTCATCAGAAACATCTGAAGACAAACTAAACAAAGCGTCATTGTTGGTCAGCAGGTTTATTTATAAATTGGCAGCGTAACCATATCTCCCTTCTCTGTTTGTGTGTGTGTGTGTGTGTGTCTCTCCAGTCTGTAGAAGCTGCCTAGTGAAGTATCTGGAAGAAAACAACACGTGCCCAACGTGTAGGATTGTTATTCATCAGAGCCATCCACTGCAGTACATCGGGTGAGTGACATGCACACAACGCGCGCACACACACACACACACACACACACACAGTGAGTTGCTGTCTTCCACTTAAACGCTCGTCTAGACTCCTTCTCTGCCTGCAGTTCACTCCTCACCTCTCTAGGTTCCTTTGTGTATTTCTCACGCACGTATTGCACACACACACACACACACACACACACTGAGGTTTGGTGTGCGCAGAGAGCTGCTGTGCACTACCAGTAAACAATAAATTACCAAGGAACAAAGTGCTGCTCGGCCCTTTCCACCTCGATTCCGCTCTTCAGCCTGAGAGGCTCACAGCGGGATGGCTTTAAATATATTAACATTTATTAAGTAACAATTCTTCTTTTTTTATATCTTAACTACCAAGAATGAAGCTAAATGTCATTTTTAGAGATTATACATATTTTGCTCATTACTGATGTGTTATTTCAACCACCCGCAAGAAATATAGCATCAACTAGAGCGCGTATGAGCTAAACTCATTTAGAATTCTGTTTCCACGATGAGCTTCTGGAGGAGACGTAGAGTACGCCGAGCCTTAAATAATACATGCATATCGTGTTCATTAGATACCAGAGAAGAGCTGTGATATCTTTAATTGGATTTCCTCCTTGATGAAAGAGCTTCGTCCCTTTTCCAAACTTGGTGGCTACATTACCCACAATGCAACTCAACCGATGGTGTGTGGTGGGAGATCCATGCGGGGACGGGGAGGGGGGGGGTGTAGCAGAGATGATGAGCTCTGGAAACGTCAGATGCCATCCTGCATTTGCATATTTAAGACGCGATGGAATACGGTGTTTTGACGCACGCAGTCGTCCCTCCAAAGAGCTGAAGCGCTGCTCCAGTGTTGGATGTCAGCCATCTGCTCGCCAAGAAGACGTCTGAGAGCCGAGCAGACGTCCTGCAGCTTCGTGTTCTGTGCCGATTCCATTGATGATTTTAATCGGTTTAATTATTTCACAGACACGCAAAACCTCCTCAAAATCCCACTTAGAACAAAGAGCGCGGTGGCATGTTTCAGTTAAGTTAAATTAGTTAAATTCATATTTTACTTTATATATGCACAAGCTAAATGGCAACTAATTTTACAGAATATAAAACTTAAAATATTGTTTCTAACAACGGTATACTAGCTGTAGGCACATATAACTTTAGCAATATAGCATTATTTTAGGATTTATCAAGACAATTGAAGACATTTTCCTGATTCCCCTTTAAACCCGCAGGAACACATTTAAAAAAATCTATTCATAAAGCATCTTTAAACTTTAAACTGTCCCATTTAAACAGGGGGACAACCCGTTTCTGTCCAGCAGGGGGCAGTGGTCTGCTGCAATGGACCCCCCCCCCCCCCTCGCCCATCCTTGTCCAAGGCACTCCGGGGTCATCTGGAGGTGAGCCCTTCCACAATAAGAGCGGGCCCCTCTCCTTAAGCAATCAGAGTGTGATGTCGGGAGAAGAAGCAGCGGGGTCGGACCTCTCGCCGGTAACACTCGAGGGGGGGATTGGAAAAAACGGTCACAGAGGGGTGAACGCAATCCCATCAGTGTACGGTGCACAGACACACACACTCACACACACTCATACACACTCACACACACTCACAGCCACACAGACCAACGGACTTAACATCTCTGTTCTTAAGACATTACAGAAAAAAGCAATTTCTGTCTCTGCAGCGCATCTGAGAAGTCGATGCTACTACAATTAAAGAAAAATACATTATTTATACATACATATATATATATATTAGAACCGCTGGTTCAAAGGACTTCTAAAAGTTGCAGAGGTGTTGTTCTCTGCATCGAAGCTGCATCGTTCCACTCAGGATGTTCCTCCGTGCGCTGCGCGGTTAAAGATGTTTAACATCCTCCCAGACCAGACGCGCTCGATTGAGGTTGAGCTGACTTTGGTTTTCTGCGCAGGCGACACAAAGTCGGAGGAGACGGCCAATAAGGAGGCGGGGGAGGAGAAACCAGAGGAGGACAACGACTATCACCGTAGCGACGAGCAGGTAAGCCCTTGTTTTTTTGTAAAGAAAAGTAGAAAATTGTGCTTTGCGTTTGGTTTGCCTAAATGAGAATATAGTGAATATTGGTTTTGCTCAGATTTTAAAATACCTCGTTAGTGATTCAGTCCCGGCTGCACTGAATAATCCTCACTGTCAACCGCTGATGATTACAAACTACTTCCTGCACGATCAAATTCGTACCTACATTTTCCAAACTGCCACGAGTGGACAGAGATCCGACAGAGAAGCAATGCGAAATACTTAAAAAATATGAAGGGTTTTCCTAATAAAATATTTCCTTTTCAATCATCGGGTTGTCTTAAAGCTGCATTCTTTCTGCTGACCACCAGAGGGCGACTCCTCTGAAGCTGTAGAAGTAGAACTTGATGATTTGATTTATTCCCTCTGGAAACTGTGTAAACATGCGTTTATGGTCTCAGGCTCTAGTTTCAAGTCTTCTTCAATAAAGAATGATGTTCATGTTGAATATATATTCAGCGAACCAGCCCTTTAACGAGCAACCAATTTCCCTTAATACCAGTAAATGTGTGAGACGGCACTCGGTGCTTGGCATTTTAGCAGAGATTAAAAGAAAGAAGAAAATTGGATAAAATAATTGTGGGTTACAAAGCAGTCTGTCAGGAACAGAAGCACTAAGGAAGAAAAAATACTGCTGGGGATAATCGTGGGTACAGTTGCCTTAAAAGGCTGAACATCAATTACTGTCTTCATAAAAGTGCCCCCCAGGTGAGTTACCAGGCTCTTTTAAAATGACTGGAGTCTCCCGTCTCTTTGCGTACACGCATTCAGACACCACAGTGCCTTTTTTAAAATGGAAGAAATGGGCCTTTCCAGCTTTCATTTGTATCCCGGCTCATTCCCGAACTCTGCCAAGCGATGTCACTGCGGAGCGAGAGAGGGGGAGAAAAAGAGCAGAGGAATTGTTGCGTTAGACGTCATCTTGCACGGGCTGCTCGTGAATACCCCCCCTTTTTTTTCTTCTTCAAAAAAAAAAAACACGTAGCAGGCGGGTTTGTTGAAAAGAAACGAGCGGCTCGTCTCCGACCGAGCGGATCCTCGCTGACAGGCCGGCCCAGTGGGGGCGGGGAGCTCGCCCCTTTGGGTGGAGCGCGTTCAGAATAGCTAACGCGGGAGTCTGTGTGAGCGGAATTTAATCATGTCAAAGGTCACCCGAGGAGGAGGGATGGAAAGAGTCTCGAGGAGGAGGAGATGGCTGGAGACTCGTTGCGTTTGTTTGCCAGAGAAGGATGACATTAATCGGAACCCTTCTTCATCCTCACCAAATGGATTAGCCGCGTCTCGGTAAACAGAAAGCGACTTCCTGTGAGTCCTGAATAGTGAAGTGTGTCAAAGCTGCGTTCTGTCTGCCGAGCAACAAGGAGCGACTCCATAGAAGTCTAAGAGAAAATGACTACTTCTCTCCCGATACATATTTCCTCAGTAAACACGAGTTTACTGTCTCAATCTCTAGTTTCAAGTCGCCTTCGTACAGCTGATGATCACGCAGTGAATTATGGTCCGTTTTTCTGTTTTGGTTGCACACGCAGACTTGAGAAGAACACCTGTAGACGCGTCGCCCCTCACTTCATTAAGGACGTTCTCACATGCGATGCTCTATGATGCTTTTTACGCCTCCATTACGCGGCCCTGTAATGTGATGTGATGAGTCCAGATCCCCACCGGGGCTTTTATTTCACATTCCCGGCCTCCCTCGGGCCGCGGGTGTACATCACCAGGGTGTACAAGGAGGAACCAGGACCTGCTGGACGCCTTTATAACCCCCCCCCTCTCTCACCCCCTCAGGTCAGCATCTGCTTGGAGTGCAACAGCAGCAAGCTGCGAGGCCTGAAGCGCAAGTGGATCCGCTGCTCGGCACAAGCCACCGTCCTCCACCTCAAGAAGTTCATCGCCAAAAAGCTCAACCTGACGTCTTTCAATGAGGTAAACCACTCTTCATGGCAGCGGCCTTTTACCTTTTTAATATGACATTCGTCCCCGAGGAGACGCCTGCTCCGTCAGGACAGAACAAAGTGTTCATTACCATCGTCCCATCGTGTCAATCTGCGTTTGTTTTTCTCGTTTGGAATCACTAAGTCTAGTTTGACATAGATCTCCGTTCATTATATTAAACCCCCCTTTGTGTTTGTTACATTTAGACGCTGTGATTTATTCCTGCTTTTCTATTTATTGTCTCTAGCAGCAGGGGGGTCGGGGGGGAGGGGCAGGCGTAGTGGGCGGTGATTTTGACGGATGGATTTATTTTAGAACTGCGTGAATAATCATCTCAGACGCCGCCGCGTCTTCCGCTTTTTATTCGCGGCCTCTGTCTTTCTTCCCGCCGTCACGGAGATGAGTCTTGTGGGGCGGCTCCATCATATCGCGTGCCTCTGTAGCGCCGCCGTTGTTCTCCCATCTTCTGCTGGTTCATGACCTCTGACCTCGACACAGAAGCCCCCAGTGACCTTCAAAGTGAAATCTGCAGCCCTCTTCCTCTGGAGGATGTTTTTGGTATCCTCCTCATCACAGATGGAAGGTCTCGGTGGCTGTAGATCCAGTCGCAGCCAGCAGGTGGCGCTGCAGTCTCTCGCTCTCTTGTATATTGATCGGCTGATGCGAGGCTTCCCTCGGCAGAACGTCAATGTTGACCTTGCGGTGGGGGGACAGGGGGGGACGGGGGGTAGAATTGTGTTCAGCATCGACCCGCCCATGTCTCCCACAAGCGGCTTTCTGGCCCCCCCCCCCCCCCCTCATAATGTCCAATTAATGAGTCTCCTCTCCAAGAAGCAGCCATGTTGTAGCTCATGTTTGGAGGGGAGGTCGATGGAGGTGTTGTTCGGTTTGTTAAACACCTTTGTGTGGGTGTGTGTCTTCCTTCTTCCCAGCTGGACATTTTATGCACGAGGAAGATCCTGGGAAAGGGACCACACGTTGAAGTTTGTCGTTGTGACGAGATGGAGATTCAAGGTAAGGACCTTCTCTGCTGCAGCTGTACGTCATGTGAAAGGCTCCTCTGTGACTGGAGCCCCCTCCAGACTGCTGCCACGTGACAGACGTGTGTTCTCCTGCTAAGGTTGTGCTTCTTTGTCTCCATCCCTCCCGTCCAGAAATCCCCCCTCCTGCTCCACTACAGACCTAAGATGGATCTGCTGTAGCTAAAACGGACACAACGGTTGTTATTTTACTGTTCATTTTGTATTTTTTTTTTTTTTGGCCCAGTGACTGTCGCCGAAACCTTTTTAATTTATGCAAAGACGATCAAGCGACACCAAGCAAACGCCCGGCGCTAAACGTCAACACGAGCCAGCAAACCCGAGAGCTAAAAAGAGGGATTGGGGGGGGGGGGACCGACTACAAGAGAAGCTGGCAGCCTGCAGCACAGATATCGCTACACTGGTGGGTTTTTATTTTTTAAGGAACTAAAACAACCTTTTTTTCTTCTTTTTTTTTTTGGTCCGCTACATCCTTGATATGTGAACAAAAAACGAAAAAAAACGAAAAAAGGAAAACTAACGGAGAGAAAGCATATATTTATACTTTTGTACAGAAGAGACACATGGAACCAAGACACTACTGGTGCTGTTTACACCCAAACAAGATGTCGGGGATCACGTGACCGTCGTTTTTCTTTTTCTTTTCTTTTTTTGGAGCTTCGTGCAGATTTCATTTTCCTCCAGAGACAAAGACTGAGAGAGAGGAGGAAAGTTCTCCTTTTTTTTTTTTCTTCACCCTTCAACATTACACTCGACACATCTCGGGAGCACAGAAAGTATATGGAAAAAGTAAATTGTCTTTTTTTTCTTCATTTTTTCATTTTGTTTGGCTTTGTCCGATTTGTTTCTATTGGGTTCTTCGATGATTGTCAATTGTGAATAGGCTGAAATTTGTGTAGTAATTTATGTTCTATATACCAATATTGTACATAAAATGTCATTACAGACAGAGAGAGAGACTGAAGAGTGTAAGAGAGACTTTAGACTGTTAAAAAGAGAAGTTGATCCCAGAAGTAAAATCTATATGTGGGGGTCATAAATTAGGATTTTTAAAGGCAGCCTCGCTATCGCTATCAAAGTATATAGATGCAACTTTATGTTGTCTGAGAAAGACACAAAACAAATATATGGAATCCTCTGTGTACGTACGTCCCTCTGCTCTCATAACATGACAAGACCTTAAGGATGGCGTGTTCCTGCATCCCACTCGTTTACAGCCCCCCCCCCTCCCTCGCGTAACCGCACATTTCACTTCTCCATTTCCACATGTTTAAGTTGAGAGCTTCCTCGGTTTGGAGCGTCGTTACTTCTCACTGCCAGTCGGAGGTGTTTTTTAAGAAAAGCTCTGAAATACGATTTCTTTTTGTTACTAAATGTCTGTTCAAAGCTTCGGGGTGTTTGTTCATTTCGCAGGTAGCCAGTGTTCAGCGTCCTGACTCCTCCAGACACACATTCCCCACTATCGTTTTCGAGAACTTGCAAATTCAGGTTTTGCACGGGGAGTTTTTTTTTTTTTTTTTTTTACATTTTGATATTGAAATTCAGAATTTAATGACTACTGTTTGGTCATTTGGTGCTTCTAAGTGTATGTTTCTAACCTGGAGGGAGGACTGTTCCTTCACTCACAACATTCAAAGCGGACTGCCGGACTGTAACGTGGATCCCTGAACGCCTCTGACCTCAGTTATTACCTCACGGACAACGGCCATCTGCTTCGTACCCGCCCACCGCTGTCTCACGTGCGCTCGCGTGCGGGGCTCCTATGCATCAGAACCAACAGGTCACAGCTTACTTTTAAATTGGATATGAAGCCTGAAACGTCTGACGCACAGACGTCGTTAAAAGGAGAAAAAGTCCTTCTTTTCATTCCCGTGTTGATGTTTGCGGCCCTGTGACGATGCAGAGGGGCCCTGCCCCATCAGGACCTTTGCCGCTTGTGTTAAAAAGGCATTTTTAAAAGCCTCCGGGTCTGTTCCTAACCAGCTACACCAAAACTCCTCCTGCCGTCTCGCAGTTCTCCTCCTCCCTTCCTGCTTCCCCCTGAATCCAGCCGCCTCTGTGAAGCGCTCCTTGATTTTGGTTTTCTTTTTTCTTTTTTGGAAGATGGGGGGTTAAGACGATGGCTCACCTGCCTGCAGGTGAAAAAGTCATTTGGAAAAAGTAAATTTGCAGCATAAACATTCTGCATTTTCGAGTTTTGGGATTTCTCCTGTGGTTCATTTCTGAAAACATTCTGTGATTCGAGCGACTAAAGGACAAAAAATAAATACTTTTTTTTTTTATTTACCTGAGAGAAAAAAGCATCAAAGTGGTACAAATTTAGCTGTATTGTGCTTTAAAAAAGCCTTTTCTGGGGATCCATTATTGGGAAAGGAATAAAATGAGTGTTGAGCGCTACATGCCACTTTAAAGAGGATTGAAAACCAAAAACAACGAGTCTCATCGGCTGCTCAGCTCATGTAAGAGCATTGTGCTGTTGATTACAATAATACTGTCAAAATGTGCACGTTTCTGTCTTTGTAAGTGCAGACCTTTGTGTTTTAAAGGCTGAGACACGGAAACGAGGCCCAACGTTCAGTAAAGTTAAAAAACACTCTCCTATTTCTCACTTTCAGTCGACGACCTTTTGCCTCGTTTTGTCTTCTCGTGGTGCTGAATCCTCTTAAAATGTACACAAGCTTTTTCCTCAGGCGGTTAAGCTGCAAAGCGCCCGACACTCGGTGCTACTGGAACCGCAACTACACACACACACACACAGCTGGTCACATCTGACCTTTCTTCCTCTCTGAGGCCGCTGCGTTCACGTTGCTGAACCTTTTTGTGTGGAATTATCGTGTTTTTACTTCACATCGGATTCTCTCTGCGGCGTAAAAAAACGCTTCGCAGTCCTTTTCTTAAATTGCAGATGCGTTTTATATCTCCATGGCGATAGTGATAAAACAGCTGCAGGAAAACACGATGTGCACAAAGATTCTTTTTGCAGAACTCATCTCAATTAGAGAAAAAACTTTTTTTTCCCCGTTGTACTCGTGATGCTTTTGATACACAGGTTGGCAAAAACGAATCTGACACTGTGAGACTCTCGGTGTGAAACGCGAGCAGCAGCGAGAACAAACTCCTCCGCTCGGTCCTCCTGTGATGCAAATCAGCAGGAAAAAAGGGGGCGGGGTCTCTGTGGCGGTTAGAAATGGTCGCTGGTGCTTCCTTTGGTGCTTACAACTCCGTGTTCAAACTTCAGACTCCTTCATCAGCGTAACGAGGGAGGGGGTTGGAGGTGTGTGGGGGGGTTCAAATAAGTGATGCTGTGAAAAAAAATACAGAAAACGACCTGGTGAGGAATCCGATGTGTCTGACAGCTGCCACTTCCTGCCTGTAAGAGAAGCTCACGCTTATTGTTTGTTGTCCGATGATGTTTTTTCCTCCTCCGTCCGACTTGAGACAACAATTGTTCTCAGATTTAGTTTTAAGGGGAGACGCTTCAGCGTAATCGCTCATGGCGCTGGTCGCTTCAGGTGTTTAGTTGACAAGTGTTTATTTTACTGCTGAAATTCTCCAAAAGATACCATTAGAAAATGTATAATTTGCATATTCAAACATTTAGAAAATTATTCCGTTTTCTGAAATGTCTGGCGTTTCATATTTGAGTTATTGCTTTAGTTTGTAATGTGACTAAACTTGCATTCAAATCCCCTTCAGGCTCTCGCATCCAGCGACGATCACAATTCCTCCTATTAACTTAATTATCATTCAGCCGGATTTATAGAACAAGAACAAATTCAAATCACAGTCAACATTGATTGTTAAAACAATGAGTTTATTTTCCAATAAAAGAAAAAAGAAAAAACTGTTAAAATACATCCACCAAATGGGAAAAAAGAATTTCTAAACTGGCTTTAGTTCATTTTCGTGTTTTGCAATATTCATAATATCTAAATTTATTAAAATGAGCACATGTTAAATATAATGTCTCATTTGCATATGCAAGCGTGAAATCACAGCAAAGTCATTATTTGAATGTCAGTGACAACGTTTGTCTCCCCTCAACTTCCTCCAGTGTGAAACCTTCTGCCTGCAGCAACGTTGAGCCGCTGGGCTGAGCGGCTTTCCACAGCGTGGAGGCCGTCGTGTGTTTGTGTGGCGGAGGAGGAGACACATTCCAATAAATAACAAATAGTTTTTTCGGTGGTCCGTAGTAACGCCCCCCACTTGTCCCCTCCCGGCTCCCTCCTTCCTCTGCTCTCGTGTACTTGGAGATTTTCAGTCATTTGGTATTCGGCCATAAACTACCAAACCTAATTCTTATTTATGTTGACTTTTGCTGTCATTTTTTAGTTTTTGAAGCTCTGCTCTCATTTTGCCTCCAATTTGTATTTTTTATTCTAACGACTTTAATTTTGAACCGAATTCCCCTTTTGTACAATTCCAGGTGTGCTCATGTCTACTCGATGCTCCGTCTGCGAGCAGCAAACAAACAAACAAACACGTGGGTGTCTTTTTGTTGGGTCAAGCGTAAACAAACACAACAACTGAAATGATGTGAATCTGTGGTTATTTGCAAGGAGGATGTGCAACATACGGCTCCGGGTCTCCGCTTTGGACACTTCCTGTCTCACTGTTTCTCCAGACAGTTCCTCAGGTCAATAAAAGCCTTCTGAGGGCGACCAGGACGTCTCAGAACACACACCAATGCTCCCGAAATACACAACGACTGGATTTTATTTTAGTCTTAGTCCCCAGTCTCGTCTTAGTCTCATCTTTAGTCCCCCCGTCCCCCCCTCTGCCTCCTTTTTAAAGAATTTCTCTGACTTTTTTTTATTTTCAGGTAAACGCAGGCACTTATTCAGGTGTCCTTTCCCTTGCCTCCTTTTGTATACTTGTTATTTATTGCACATGTGATGAACTGGTTTCCATTGCCACATTGAATTCCAGGGGTTTTGGCTACAAAATGGAGCCGGAATTTCTTACGTACAAAACTACCGGAGCTTTTGTCAAAACCTAAGTGTGTATTTCATCAATAAATGCCTTTAAAAGTGTTCCTGCCGCTGTGCTGCCTCATTTATTTAACGCTTCAAGTCATGTTGATAAAAAGTACATTTAATGTTTGTTTAGCCATTTAATAACGTGAATAATGTGAGAGATCACGTCATTTATTTAAGGATGCAGTCAAATTATAAACCGAATAAGAAGAATAAACTGAACTGGTTCCCAACCAAAGGCAATGTGACCGTAATCCCGTATCCGAGGAGTTCTCTTCCTCTGACATCTGAAGCTGTAGTCTGATTACAATAATGGATTGTTTTCAAATGATCATGTTTGCAGCGTGACAGTCGAGGCCTTCACCTCTTTGATATTTCGTGGCTGCATCGGCCTTAGTTTGCGGGCGATGCACAAGGAACGGAGACGGACGCCGTGCCCCAATGTTTGATCGTCCGTTTGAAATGGTAAATTGCACGACTCATTTGGCATCAATGGAGCTCTCGCGGGACGCCGGGAGAAACGACTCCGGGAAGGAGACGGTGTGTTTGTTTTCTGGGGGCCGGCAGCCGGCAGCTATTTCGGTCGGTGTCTGTGGGCGCAGAGCTCGGATGCGTGAAATGAGAAGAGAGGAAACCATATTATTGACTCATTAAGCGAGTCCAGGGTTTGCAGGCTGTGGCTCTCATCGCCCTGCACCGGCCTTTAGTGCCTGCCGACAGGCAGGTAATCAGGCACGAAGAAAACAAAAAGGGACTTTGGTTTCCAATTTTTATAGGCTGTGACGTCATCAATGCCAGATCTGCTTCTAACACAGGAGGGATTTCTCATATTGTTTTGTATCGTTTCTTTACCAGATGGCAACTTCCGGTTCTGAGAAGCTTAGTGAAGTTTCTTAAAGCTGCCACCAGGGGGCGACTCCTCCGACCTCGTAAAAGTCTATGAGAAAATGACTTCTCTCTTGATTTATTCCCTCAGAAAAAACCTGTAATGTGAATCTTCTTCAATACAGTATGATATTATGCTCCATTTGGAGTCTAATAGACCATAAAGCAGGGGATGCTTTAGGTGCCACCTTAAATATGGTAACTTCCATTCACTGGCTGCAAATGGCGGACAGAATACTGAACTGTGTGTTTGAACATAAGAAACATTATTGCACTTTAATTCCAACAATGAGAAATTGGCTGGAGCACCAAACAGGTACACGTGTTATAATGTATGATTAAGTGCAGAAATTTATACATGTGATGTTGCTGTTTAATAACATTTTACAGACTTCTTCCACTACGGCAGTAGTTGTAGTTTTCAGTGCGCGCCAGTGAAGCGGGGCCTCTCCGCACCGTCTGAACACGCTTTGGGTTTACAGCCGACCCCTCCAAGCGGGCGGCCCGGCGGATGTGGTTCGATGCTGGCAGGAGGTAAGTGGCGGGATCAGCAAGTGTCACGCCTTGTCTTTTTTTCTTCTCCCCAGTACCGGATTCTTTCTGGGCGGAGTAGCATCGGAGCGCTCCTCGTGGAGCCTCCTCAAATCAAAGCCCGCCGTCCGCGGTTCGGCGTCCACGGACGATCTCGGATCGTTGAATCGCAGCCGCCTTAGGAAGCTACAGCCCCCGACTCCTGGTGATGCATTTTAATGTTTCTCAAAAGTAACAGCCTGGAAAGTGCTGCAGCTGTTGGAAAGTCTGCTCTCACAAAAACTCGCAGGGTGCTCGTCGCCGCTTCAATCTGCTGAAGCCTTTCATGTTTGTGATGCAATTTAAATGTAATAAAAATGCATCATCTGCCAAATTCTGCAGGAAAACATCCGAACTCCTGAATCCTCTGGCTGGAACGTGGAGAAGTCTTCTGCTGGAGCTATGAAGCCCTTTGATGGCGTGCTCACTTTAAACAAACCCAACGTGGTTAAGGTTGCAAAAGGTTCTTGCGCCTCATGTTTGTGAGGTCTGAGGTGTGTGTGTGTGTGTGTGTGTGTGTGTGTGTGTGTGTGTGTGTGTGTGTGTGTGTGTCTTAGATGGGGATTTAAGAACTTTGCAGACTGTGATCCATGTCAGCCGCATTTAAGACCACAGATGGTGTCGATGGTCGTGAAGTCGGGAGTGGTGACACTCAGAGGGGCTTCCCCCAGAGCCCCGTTATTTACTGTCCCCATGGCAACGGCTGTCAACCTGCGACACACACACACACCAACACACACACACGGAACATCGCAGTTGCAATTTGCAGCTTCACAGAGTCATTCACGAGAGGTAAACTGGTGCGACCGGGTGTAAACACTGCAGCCTCCCCGGGGACGGATGCAGGATGAACACGCACGCACGCACGCACGCACACGTGGGAGCCAGGGGACGGACTGCAGAGGGTGTGGAGTAAAAAGGTACAACAATGAGGCCCCGCGCAGTCGGCAAAGGAGCGTGACATCGAGAACCAGAACCGACCAAGCAAATGCTCCATCTGGAAAGACGCGCCGGAAGCTTCTTCACTTCTCAAGAAGTCGGGATTGTTAAATTGCAAAGCCCCAAAGTTTCTGTCTCGTATTGTTTGCAATACGTTACTGCTCCTTTAAGACATTAAGACTTTAGCGACATGTTTGATGGTGTACTTATTAATCTAAATCCATCCATCCACCAATGATGTGACTGCAGAGATGATGAAGCATCTGTGGTGAACAGGGGACATTTCTAATTCCCTTTGGTGGGCTTTCCTCACCACAAAATGGAAGAAATTCTCTAAATCAGTCAAAGATGTTCTTATCTTACATTCAGACATTCTGGACTTCTGCTTTTATAATATTTAATTACATTTTAGGGGAAAAAACATTCGCCCGGGGAGAAAGAAATAACTACACAATACGATAACTGTCGTTCAGCTTAAAACCCTGAAAAGGTCTGAACCATCCGCCGAAAAAATGCAAATGCACCTCCATCTTTTAATTATCCTCCAGCCTGTGCAAGGAGACAGGAGGACACATGAAAGCAGACACGCACACGCTCATCCTCCTGGTGAGGGTCAGAGGATCAGTCACTGCTCCTCACCCCGCCTCTCTCCTCCGGGTGGGAAACCTTTAGGAGACCGGGCTGATTTTCTTCCTCCTTTACGCATCAGTCAGCGTTAAATTTGGAGGAGGAGTTGACCTTTTTAGCGCAGGGCTAGTTTAACAATCCGTGCAGAAAGTATTGTATTATAAACGTATGGAGGCGAAACTGGTTGAATTTAAAATGAGTACAATCCCCATTTCATAGTAATGTTTTATTCATTAACAATTTAAACCTGTTTTTCAGGTCTGCTTTGGACAACTGAGCCAATATCTGCTGTTTTATAGCAACAAGCAAGTGGGATGTCCGGTAAAACTCAGTTCATATGAATATCGGGAGGAGTTTTCAAATGATACAAATATAAATGAATTCAGTCTGAACGTCGGCCACGTTGTCCCCAAATTATCAACGACACACGTTTCTGAGGCCGCTTCATAAGAAGGGTGATGAGATTAATGGTGAGACAAAACTTTTGATCTGCTATTGTAAAAAGGCACAATGCGTTCGGATACAAATCAGAGTGATTATTGGATTTAGTGGTTTATTTCAGTGGTTTGATTTCTTTTCCCCTAAACAGTCTCTTTTTTTTTGCTTAATGAAATATAAAAACTAAAATATTTTCCTTGAGTTTAATTATCTCACACATCCTCGTCAATGTTCAGCAATGTTGTCTTCATCCTTAATTTCACTTTGTGTATGTAATTATACATTTTAAAACCAAATCATTTCAATAATTATGCAATATTTTCTTAGAATTTCCTTAATGAATTTGGTACTAACTATTGAGGAACACATTAGCTAAAATAAACTAAACTGATTCCTTTTGAGCTCGCATAATCAAAGCACATGAAGGAAACATGCTATTTATACTCGGGAAGCAGTGCAGAAGAACAAAGTGGCCGATAATAAATGTACGAACATATTTAGAAGGGTTCAACGATGGAAAGCAGGCGGTCGCCGTAGCTGACGTCACACACTGTGAAATAACATTTAAACACTGAATGTCGGCTACATCCAATTCAACCGCTGTCATTGTGACCGCGCATCTTATTATACGAGTAACATAATACCTGCAGCCACCACTGGATGCAGTCCCTCACTGCTCCCTCTGCTTCCTCGGGCCTCGATGGGGCTCTCCGTGCATCGTGCGTTTGAGTGTTTTTATTTGTTATTTACACGCTAACGTTATCACACTCCTCACAAGCAGAGGTCACGGCAAAGCGCTTGGCTGCATCTACTCGGCGGGTTCTTTCTGTGCGGGCGCTTCAGCCTCTGGGGGGCTTTTTTAAAAATCCATTTTCTCTCCGTGCAGGAATACAGCTCCTCTTCTCCCGAGCAGACTGGAGATGATTGCAGGAAGCCGGAGCGGCCGAGGGAAGGAAATGGATTGTAATTGGCGAGCACTCTCACTGTGAGGCGGCGGCGGCGGCGGGAAAGGCGGTCTTGTTGGCGTCAATCGAGGGCCATTCATCCGCACCCGTGGCCTTTCATAGGCGAGATTACTTTTGCCTCGGAATTTACGTAGATTCACACGCGTACGCAATTAGATGTGATATGAAATCGACCTGTGTACAGGTCGACTGTTTTCAGCTCCAAGTGGGGCGCGGGAATTCTGCCATCGAAACGACGCAGACAGGAAGTGGTTGTGAGTAGCGACACGTCACCGGATCAGCGTCCCCGTTGGGATGCTGCACGGTCGCACAGATACAACCACAAGCAAAGCCTTAATCCTTAAATGAATTACTAATCAAACATGTTTTCTTCACGATGGTCATGAGTGAACGAGAAATGAAGGCAGCTCTTGAGTTGCTACAGGAAGCCGCACGCGAGGGAGGCAGGTGGGGGTTTGTTCATTAAAATGTCACTTGCATTAAAAGAGAAGTCAAAGGGAAAATCCCATTAAAACTTTCCCTTTGATTTGTTCGAATCACAGAAAGGCTCCTCCACCGGGACAAAGTATGAAACATCCCTCTGAGGCCGAGCTACTAAAATTTCGACTTTTTATCTAAATTCACTCTGAAAGAA